ATTTTCAGCTAAAGTGCAAAGCATGTAACAGAGTTTAAAATCTGATTCATTTTGTGTTTAACATTCAACTATTGAATATGGTATGATTAGTTCAGCTTTAGTGCAATGCATGTAACAGAGTTTATATCTGATATCTTTTGTGTTTACCATTCAACTATTGAATATGGTATGATTAGTTCAGCTTTAGTGCAATGCATGTAACCGAGTTTAAAATTTGATTTCTTTTGTGTTTACCATTCAAGTATAGAATATGGTATGATTAGTTCAGCTTTAGTACAATGCATGTAACAAAGTTTGAAATCTGATTTCTTTTGTGTGTAAGATTCAACTATTGAATATGGTATGATTAGTTCAGCTTTAATGCAATATATGTAACAGAGTTTAAAATCTGATTTATTTTGTGTTTACCATTCAACTAGGCCCTACTAGTATTGAATGAATGAATATGGTATGATTAGTTCAGCTTCATTGCAAAGCATGTAACAGAGTTTAAAATCTGATTTCTTTTGTGTTTAACATTCAACTATTGAATATGGTACGATGAGTCCAGCTTCAGTGCAATGCATGTAACAGAGTTTAAAATCTGATTTCTTTTGTGTTTTACATTCAACTATTGAATATGGTAGGATTTGTTCAGCTGTAGTGCACTGCATGTGACAGTCATCATCTTTTGTGCCACACTGGTTTTGGATAGCTTGCCAAGTGTCAATTCAAGTGTCAATTCTTGAAGAACAATAGAAAAAGAATGCTTCTTTGTTACAGCTGTATATTCTTTAAAATAAACTACAGTAAAATTTTAAATGTTTGGAATTTCTTTGAATTTAAAAGATAAACAATCAAATGACTATATTGCAACAGTATATAAAAATAGAAACAAATATACTTGTCCTAACTTTTGTATATTTCAGAAAGTTATGTATAATGTGCAGTAAAGCTGTGGCCTTTTGTAATTTAGGGAGTTATAGCCATGTTATATTTTTTCCGAAAATAACAGGGCAAAGAAGCATCAAAATATAAGACGCCAAACTACAAAACAAACTAAAATATACAAAAGTTAGGACATGTATAAATGTTTCTATTTTTACATAAACTGTTTCAATATGGTCCTTTCAGCTTATTTTCTAAATTAAAAGTAGTTCCAAACATTTAAAATTTTACTGTATAATTCATTCTATTGTATTGCTACCTAAGTGGGGTTGAACATAAAATGTAGTATCAAAATGTGACTGTCGATACTGTTGTAATAATTTTAATATTCTATTGTATGTCTATTATCACAAAATATGCCTCGGGTGAATAGCCTATAATCAGCTTATAATTGAATGGCTGGAGATATTTATCATTTCATCAGGACGGTCATCCAACTGTTTCTACCTTTCAGTTACGTGGACATGAGACTTGACATCCAAATGATATAGTATTAGTGGTTTAATAATATTAATGTAAGAGTAATGTAAGATGCATTTTATCTTATTTTCGCAGAACTAATAAGTAAAATAAAATAATATCAAACACATTAAATTTTACAGTTCACATACAGGGTGTCCCGAAGGTATACCCCCTCCGTAGACAAACATATACCAATGTCGTCATAGAATGTGTCATATATTATTTTCAAGCCTATCCAAAGTTACATTGAATTGCCAAGTATCATGGTTCAACTCTCAAATGGGAAAAGGTTACAGCCATTTTAATATTTAGTGTTTTGCCAAAACCAAGTTCAATTTTACACCACATTACGAGTCAATGTGTCCTCCCCTTGCCATGTTACAGCAGCAATTATTTTCAGATATGACCTTAAAAGCCCTTCAAATAGAGGTGTGGAATTTTGTAATCCTCTTTGAAGGTATTTAAGAAGAGTCTCCTTGGAGTAACTACTCTTTTTTCAACTCAATATCCATCCGACCAGAAAAGAATTGCTGGTAAAGATGGCCTGGGGCTTGGTGTAAAATTGAACTTAATTTTTAGGTCCCAAAATTTATGTTTTACCCCCACCTCTGGGGGTAAAACTAAAAGTAAATATTCTGAGCAAACTCTTTCCCAGATTTTCATGAAATAACTACTACCATTATGTACTAATCATTGTAGATGTTTATTGATCATTGTTACCTTGTAAAATTGATGTTTTAACCCTTTCATGTCCACATTTTCATTTTGTTAACATTGACTTTGAGGATATTATATCAGTATTCTAAGATATTTTGATATTTAGTGAAGAAAAATTCAGGGATAACGTTTTTCTATGAATCTTTATGTCCAAATTAATTTCAAATTATAAAAAAATTAATGATGGAGAATTTGTTTGCCTATTCAGTGTGTGTGTGTGGGGGTGGCAGAGGGGGAGGGCTGACAAACTCTCCCTGACTGTCTTGGAATGCATGTAACTTCATAATTGGTTAACTAATGCTTCCCTCGTGTAATAAGAGACAGAGGTGGGGGATAACCGAGAAGATATATTAAAGAAACTCTCACATTTGTTTTAATCAATTCGAGCTAGCGAGTTTATCAATGCTGGCAAATTAGAAAGAACTAATTTTATGAGTGAATTTTTTGAAATAAGATGTACTAAACATGGGATGTGGGATAAGTAGAAAAGCTTAAAATCTCAAATAGTTTCCAAAATAACCTGCAAAATGTCTAATAAATTGTAAACTGTATGTTAATCAACCATTTTAGCCATGCTAAAAAAAAGTGAGCACAAATTATATACTCACAAAATATTTTTTCATATTTACCCCTACCCTCTGTTGAAGAAGTGGTGGGGTTGTCATAATTTTTTTCTTCTTATTGATTAGACACATCTCTGTCATACTTTCTGGATTTATCCAGTGATTTTTGAGCAATACTTTGGAATTTATTCATAGACATCCATGCACTCGAAAAAGTTGAATTGGGGGATAGTACAGGGTGTCCAAAAAACAGGACCGTGAGAAAGTTGAATAACTTGGTCAATTTTGCACATTTTTCCTTGAAATTTTAGAATTATTTAGCCTAGTTCATTCAATGTCAATTTTGTTGTGAAAGTCTGCCAGTTGAGTCAAAAACTACAATTCCTTACAAAACATGCCCAAAATGTGCACATCTCTCTATGCACAATTCAATCCGGTGAACAAAGTTGTTGATGGTCCACCTACACAAATATCTTTCCGAATGGACAAGTTTATTCCAAGAACAATTGAAACTGGGACTTACATCCTCCTGATGAAGTGTTACAGCATCCATTGCATTCTGAACAATGCATTGCCTGGGTGGCATTTAGGAAACAATTAATCATCAGTCCTTTTTGGTTGGAAGGTGACTGGGGACGTGCTATCACCATGAACAAGGACCAGTAAGTTCCGACTAAGATTTGGAGGTCACTGAAGCACCAGAAGGGACATCTAAGGAGATAAGAAGTGATTTCAACAAGCCAATACTACCCTAACACTGCAAATGATATACGGATTACAAAATAAGCATTGTAACGGAATATTGACAAACTTTTTGAAAGGCTTTTAGTTCTTCTCTTTGCTTTCATTTTTAAATCACAATCTTACCACGAGACACTCTGGCATTACACGTATATATAATATTTGCACTGTATAATAATGAAATGCAGTTACAACAAGCCAACGACATTTTGCGCGTGTGTGACCGGCCATGTAACCAATGGATTAATATTTAATCAGAAAAACTGCAAGATTGACGTCAATCTTCTTAGGTAAGAATATACTTGCTTCTATAATTATTGCTTTAATCGTGGAAACCACAATGTATTAATTAGAGAAGGACAATAGCCTTAGGAATTCTTAAAGGCCCCATCTAATATGTACTTATCATTCATTTACTATTTTTCATGACTTTAAAAGTTTTCTTAAAGATTTTTGAAAAAAACAAGGGGAAAAAAGCTGTCAAATATTCGAATTTCCCGCCATTTTTCAAATAAAAGTTGAAATTTTTTAATCATCAAATATTTTACTATTCAGTGAAAACATATTAACTTTTTAATAACACTGTGAAGATTAAACAAAGGATGTACTATCTGAATGATAAAATGTCATTCCTAATGTGCCACTTAAATGTTATAGCATATCAAAAAATGTCTGCACCCTAAATTTTCTCAATTTTTATGAATGTTTATACGCATTGGTTTGAATTATCACTTATTAAAACATATTTGTGAGCTCTAAAATTTAGCTTTAAACAAATTCACGATTTTTTCGAACAAAAAGTCCTTCAAAAACCACTTTTTGAAATTAAAAAACAAGAGTTTCAAATATCACATTTTGATTACAAGCAAAACAGGTTTAAACTTTATATGGGGCCTTTAACTTTAATTCCGGTTATTTTAGATAATTGAATTATTATTATTCAAGAGAGTTAGGAATTCTCAACTTTGATTACTCTTTTGTTTTTATTGTCATCGGGATTTTGAGCTGACATCCAACAGTATTTAAAAAAAATTCTAATCACTTGGACCCAAGACATTAGTTAACACAAATTCAACTTCGACTTAGTTAACAGTCAACTTGTAATGCAGCAAGGTTAACGAGCCTTTTCATTTTTTCGTGAAGCCACTCAGTAAAATTACGATTTCTCTGCAACCTGATGTCCAATCAAGATCATTCAAGTATCTATGTGTTTCTGACACGTTTGTGACAGTTTTTCCGGAGAAGTTTTTATTTTTTGAAAAATCGGGCAGACTAATTTCATGATATCTCGACCGCATTTGAGGCACTTTCATAGACTTCAGGTTCGATTATGCGCTCTCTACAGCTAAGTTACCGTAATATACTACAATGAAATTCAAACAGAATGAATTTTCGTTTTGATTTGATGAAGTTATGTGCCCTAGATATGGGGGTCAATTTTTGGTTCGGCTGATGAAACTTAGAAATGGGACTTTATGACGTCCCGGCGGATGAAGAAATCTGCCTAACCGAAGCACATTTGCGCCTTGGATCTCCTGCTGAAATACACATGGCCATATTATTGGACAAGGACACCAAGAAGTCCTAACAATGGCCACAATTGGACAACAAGGAGTCCCAACAATGGACACATTTGGACAACAAGGAGTCCCAACAATGGCCATGATTGGACAACAAGGAGTCCCAACAATGGACACATTTGGACAACAAGGAGTCCCAACAATGGCCACAAGTGAACAAAGAGTCCAGACAATGACCACAAGTGGACAACAAGAAGTCCCAACAATGGCCACGAGTGGACAACAAGGAGTCCTAACAATGGCCATGATTGGACAACAAGGAGTCCCAACAATGGGCACATTTGGACAACAAGGAGTCCCAACAATGGCCACAATTGGACAACAAAGAGTCCCAACAATGGCCACGAGTGGACAACAAGGAGTCCTAACAATGGCCATGATTGGGACAACTTGAAGTCCCAACTATGGCCACAATGGGACAACATGAAGTCCCAACTATGGCCACAACTGGACAACATGAAGTCCCAACAATGGCCACGAGTGGACAACAAGGAGTCCCAACAATGGACACATTTGGACAACAAGGACTCCCAACAATGGACGCATTTGGACAACAAGGAGTCCCAACAATGACCACAATTGGTCAGCAAGGAGTCCCAACAATGGCCACAATTGGACAGCAAGGAGTCCAAATAATGCCTATAAGTGACCAGTCGGACAATGCTGCCCTTGTGCCACAGATGAATGCCACCAGCCAACAAGGTGATATACACAAATACGTTCATTTAGCCATTTTAATTTATTGAAATTCTTGTATATCACGTCTTCTCACTCAAAAGAAAAAATTAAAGAACAGTAATAATTGAAAGCACAACCATTCAAATCATCTGAAATAAGAGTTTCATAAATGCCTAGCAAATTTCTTTTCAGGTGTCCGTACCATCAACATTCCACCTGGCTACAGTATCACTATACAACCAACACCTGAATACATAGCAAGTGTATCACAGTCCCAAACTGCCGATGACCAACCTCCCCAATCGTGGAAAATCCAAAGCATTGAACAATCAATGAACTAAATAATTATAGACACAAACAATAAATGAACTCAACCAATTTAAATGCATCAAATTGATGAAAAAATGATTTTGGTCAAATGATGCCAATATATATCCAAGAGAAATATATATTGAAAATGACTTTCATAAGAAAAAAGAGTTACAATATGGACCATAAATAGATGAGTATTTTAAAAACAATTTTAAGATAAAGGATAGGTATCGATATGGTGAACTGAATTCAACAATGTTTTTCTCTTAAACAAATTATTGAAAACATTCTGTAAAAACACGGCATTTTATGTAATGTTGACTGATTGACAACAATTTAATGCAAAAATTATTTAGAAATATTTTATATAACTGTTTTTGTTCATGAGAATGAAATAAAATGTCTTTCTGAACCTCGTTAGAACAAAATAGCATATACAACATGTTTTTAGACCTCTCAATATTATAGTTATACAAAGGAATTTTTACTTGATTTAAAATAAGTATTCAAAAAATTAAAACAAAATCCCTCCAAAATAGATAAAAATCAAGACAAACCTTTTATTTCATTAACAAGATACTTTTTTTTAAAAATCAACTAAAATTTCCTTTGTACAATTACAATATTGAGAGACCTAAATATGTTGTGTTTATGTCGTTTTGTTCCAATGAAGTTCTGAAAGATGTTTCATTTCATTCTGGAAACATGATACCAAGACTAAAACAAGTGTTTGATGTAATTTCTAAAACAATATAGATGAAAGTATATATATATTTTTCAAATTATATTGTTACCATTCAAAAGATGACCATTAAATTGACGATGTGTTAGATTTTTATAATTTTTTATGACTGGTTTAAGAGAAACATGTGTTCAAAAAGTTCACCATATCGACACCACTCCTTTATTCGTATGTATATATATTACAAAGAAAAAGCTCTGCATTGTAATTTATCAAATATATTTCAAGGTCCACTATATATTATGCGTATGTACAATATTATACAAACAAAAAGCTCTGCATTGTGATTTACATTACTTTACAATGCTTTCTTCTTTTTAAATAAAACTCAGCAAGTTTTTATTTACATACAAAATATCAAATATATTTTAGGTCCAATATTATATTATTCAATATTCATATGTACATTATGTTACAAAGAGGGCTCTACATTATCAGATTTACATTGCTGTACAATATTGTCTTCTTTTTCAAGTTCTTTTTATTTATTTACATAATCACTCTACTATACCTGTATACCTAACCCCTAGAAATGCGTAAGATATTCTGTTTGTCCAATTGTATTGTTTAGTATATTTTTGAAAGTACCATCTTAAAACATCTACATGTAGTAAACATCTAACGTCATCCAATAAACCATTAATAAGGAACAGACAAAAAAACAAATAACATAATCCTTACTAATAAGCCAAAAGGGTTGCTCATGAACACCAAATGCAAGGTATAGTAGAGTGATAATAATGTATTCACATTTCCTTAACTTCAAGAGAAATGACAATCTACAGGCCCCTAGCAAGGGGGGTTCGCAGGGTTCGGGTTAAATTCGGTTTAAATTCTTTTCTTTATTGCAAAATACTTTATACAATATCACTTAAAAGATACAAAATGATTTAAAAGAATAAACTTTCAAGGTAACCTTTTGCAAGGGTCAAGTTGTCACTTTGACAACCATTCAACGCTTACCATTTGACCTTCATAAGCACTCGGTTTGTTATTTCCTATGATACTTTTTATGCAACAATGAGTTATTATTTTTGTGTATTTAAGGATCAGAATTTGAAAATGCATCACTCTAATGCATAGGGTTTAAATAATTTAATTGAACAATAAACTCACAATAAATCTGTTATTTTTTCTTTCCTTTCACTGGGGGTTTTGGTTCTAAAAGTTTCTCAGGATCAATATCAAATTCTAATAGTTTTTTAATAAGGTCATCATCTCTCACAGAATCAATGGCCGTCTTCCAATGATGTAATCTCACATTGACAGAGAATTCTAGCGGAGCTGGAGGCTCTTCCTCCTCCTCTTCCTCGGTTATAGGTGGCGCTTTACCCTTGGCTTTGTCATCACCTTTACCCTTGGCGCTCTTCTTGTCTCCTGCAAATAATCAAATTTTATACTATGAAAGAATGATCGACAAATATTAATGCAGCACTCAATAGAGAAGCCGTAATCCCATTCAGAAAAATATGTTTTCAGAAATTATTCTTCATTTTTAATTTTTAAATTACGAAAAGTGTCATTAATTAATTTGAAAAAGTCAACACTCACCTTTTTCCTTTTCTTTCTTCTTAGATGCCGATTTCTTCTCTTCTTTGTCTTTTTTCTTCTCCTGGAAATATAGATAGCAGATAAATTAAATGGGAATAAAGAAAAAGATCAGCTTCTTAATATGTGCTTGGATTATAACAGAAGAATATAAACCACATTTAATCGCAAGCCCAACCAGCTCGTATCGAACCGTCGAACACCATCCACTAAAAAGTAGGAGACCATAACAATATGTCTTGTGGTAGTGACATAACAAATGATTTTGGCTTGGCCAAATCAAACTGCAGTCAATTAACTGTGATATACTAGTAAACAATAGATTGTACTGACCTTTTTATCAACTTCTGATGGTGCTGCCAAGAGGTCTTCACATTCCCATTCATGAGTAAACTTTGAAGAGGTCTCAAATTCTCCTTCAAGGAACTGCTCAAGTGGCAAATGGAATGTAGAGAGTACAGTGACCTCTGGTGGGCCATGCTCTAATTCAACATCAGGCTCCCCCTTTTTCTTCTTCTTTTTCTCACCATCTTTTGGCTAAATACAATAAAATTGGAATGAGGATTGAAATTTAGGACCAAAGGACATTTTTTATATATGGTATGATTATTACATCATACAAATATAATTTTCATTATTGACAAAATGTTTGTTTGTTCTTATATTTGAGCGATTACAGTTATCCCAATGAGTTTTGAATGATTACGATTTTAAGTACTGAGTAGTACTACTGAGTTGTACTAGGTATTTTGAGCCTGCCTCCAAATACTGAGTATGCTCAAAGTACTGAGGTTTGCCAAATAAAAGAGCCATTCAGAACCAAAAGGTATAGATAACTTCAGATTTGTCTAATCCATTAAAAAGTATAAGAGGTGCGATCTGTAATCCCAGTTGAAAGGATTCATATTATGTCATGCACAATTATTAAAAAATTGAATAAAATATTTCATGTCTTCAAAAGATCAATTAGCATTTTTAAAAGGATTGAGGATAGATAGTGGATTTGTGATAATTGAGGTTTTGATAAACAAGGTTTTTATAAATGAAGTTTTCAAAAGTTAGGTTTTAAAAAATGAGGCTTCGATAAATGAGGTTTTTAAAAGTGAGGTTTTGATAAATTATGTTTTTAAAAGTGAGGTTTTGAAAAATGAGGTTTTTAAAGGTCAGGTTTTGATAAATGAGGTTTTCAAAAGTTAGGTTTTCAAAAATGGGGCTTTGATTATTGAGGTTTTTAAAGTGAGGTTTTAAGGTTTTTAAAAGTCTGGTTTTGATATATAGAGGTTTTTAAAACTCAGGTTTTGATAAATGAGGTTTTCAAGTTAGGTTTTCAAAAAAGGGCTTTGATAAATGAGGCTTTTAAAAGTGAAGTTCTGATAAGTGGGGTTTTGAGAAGGTTCAGAGAAGTTTGACATCAAAAGGTATGTCATAGTCATATACAATATTTCATACTATTTCGATGAATACCTGTTCATCGTTCAATGATTCTATCAAGGTGTATTCTCCGAAACCTGGAGGGCCAGGGGAATGCACCTTGCAGAATCATTGCAAGTGCAACAGGTATTCACTGAAATAGTATGAAATATTTGTTTTATTATTCACTGTTATATTCACCACTCTCTTACTGTTGGGAATGATTTTTTGGGGATTTTTTCAGATTTACACTGGACAAAACGACACACCTAGTGAGTACACCCGTTGAATACATCTTTTTATTGACGTCACAGGCATGGCCGTTGAATACGTCTTCATATTCCTTTGTCACATGTAATGTGTAGACCAATGGGAGAGTGGGGAATATGACAGTGATATAATAATAGTGTCTATTGACTTTATTAATGCATTTAATGATATTTCATTAAAAAATATCAAATAAAATATATTAAACTGCATCAGCCATATTGTATTTAATTTTTTGGTCCATGCCCCACTTCTATTGGTGCAGATACCAAAGAATTAAATAATAGCATTGGGTTTCCACACATCTCACTACCTGTTCACAACTTACGATTCCTTTTGTATTTTTAGCACTCATGGCCCTTCCACTTTTTGGTTTTTGTTTCTATATACAAAATTACAATATAAAGAAAAATCAACTCATATAATTTTAATCAATTGGGCAAATATCATTAGTTTTAGAAGCAAAAATTCAGTTTTTTTAAATTTTATTACTCACATGAAAAATGAATCTTTGCGTATCAAACAACAATGACATAACAATAACTGCAAATCTACATTACAAAGACAATAATGACATCACAATAACAAGAACAGTCAGGGACATTACAATAAGAACGAGGCATTAAAAGCAGAATGTCACCACCTGCTATTTGGTACAGATACTGACTGCCAGATGCAAACCGCCGAACACCAACTGCTGAACACTGTTCACAAAAAAGTTGGAGACAATAACAAGATGTCACCACTTGTGTTGGTGACATAAAAATTAGCTTCTGTAAGCTGTAATCATTGAAAAAAGTCATTTAATGTAATTACCTTCTCATCTTTTTTATCTTTAGATTTGTCATCTTTCTTCCCGCTCTTTTTGTCATCCTTTTTAGCGCCATCTTTATCTTTTCGTGAATCTGTCCGGCTGTCCTCTGTCGGTTCCTCAGGAACAGGATAAGACAACACCTATTGTCGGAAAGTATAGCATTTAAAAACTGGTTTTTATATACCCAAATATTCTGGAAGCAATTGACTGAATGCCAATATACTAAATTGGGCAAATATGTTTTCACTTTTCAACTTTAGTTGGGAATCCTGCTTATGGTGACTGGAATTCTTATGAATGTAATACCTCTAGCCACTGACAGATAAAAGACATCTCTAATCAAGAATTGGTTTCGCAATAAATACAATAAAATGCATAGATCAACTAATTAATATGAAAAAGTGCAAGGGGCAACATTTGAAGAACACAAACCCACTAAAATCACTAACAAATCCGACAAATGTAACTAAACAGAAATTTCACTGATTTTGGGGAGAAAATCAGCAGAATAGGACTAATGGTAGTAAATTCTATTAATTCATGAATCTTACTTTCTCTTCGATGACAGAGATGTCCATTCCTTGTTTAAGAAAATCTCTCATTCCAAGCAGGTTGTCTCTGGTAAAGATCTTAGCCCAAAGTAGGTTCACCTTGAAAAAATAAAAGGGGAGTTAGACATTTTTAACTTCTACATGCACAGTAAAAATTGTGTCATCCAAGCTCTACTGGAACTGGCCAAGTGTTCAGATTGGCAGGTGTTCACATTTCAGATTGGCAGGTGTTCACATTTCAGATTGGCAGGTGTTCACATTTCAGATTGGCAGGTGTTCACTTTTCAGATTGGCAGGTGTTCACATTTCAGATTGGCAGGTGTTCACATCTCAGATTGGCAGGTGTTCACATTTCAGATTGGCAGGTGTTCACATTTCAGATTGGCAGGTGTTCACATTTCAGATTGGCAGGTGTCCACATTTCAGATTGGCAGGTGTTCACATTTCAAGTTTTTTAACGTAGAATTCTGTAGAAGATTAAGACAAGGCATTTACATGCAAAATGTCACAACCTGCCATTTGCTACAGATGCCACTCTAAATGCCAAACGCCAATAGCCAGATGCCAAACACCAAGAAAAAGTGTTCACATTGAGAGGTGTTCAGATTATAGAAAGAGTTCAAAAATACAGGTTACTTTGTACTGCAATCACTATGGTAACTGTTGTTATGGCAAACATTAATCCTACTACATAAGTTCTTACCTCCTCTGCCCATGTACAGGTGTCTGTTTTTGCTGCCTCCAGGACGAATGTTTGTTCGGGTATCTCTGAACTTGGTTGCGAGGACTCTGATTTAATACTTTTGGCTTCTTCTTCAACTATCGTGTCTTCTTTCTTTTCTACAATTAAAGGGTCAACTTTATGTTATCTATTTAAGTTGATCAAAATTTCCAAAACATTTAATACTGTATCATGATAACTGATTAGAATAATTAATTCATCTGTTCCATCAAAATCAAACAATTAAATTCAAGAAATGAGTGGAATTTGTCTAGTGTGAAAGTTTCTTTGGGAGTCATTAGACTCTGCCATGATCAATGAAGGTTTAATTGTGTTTAATCCAAACACCACTGGGACAGGCAAAAAGTATTCAGTTTAGCAGGTGTTCACAGTTCAAGGTTTTTTAATATGTGAATGGAAGTTGCCAAAATTGGAACTGAGAAAAGGTGAGAGGTGTTAGAAGTGTTCAAATAAGAGAAGTGTTCAAATATACAGGTTTTAGTGTAACTACATGCTGTACATTGAGCAGTGAATGGCTGACAACAAAATTTGACGGAGAAAAGGTGGTCACTTTTAGGGGTGCTCAAAGAAGAGAGTTGTTTGTACATATGAGGTTTTACTGTAATTCCATTCTGTACCTTGAGCAATAGGTGCTTCATAGGTCTCATTCTCGGCAGCAAATGCCACATTTCTGTCAATGTCCACTGCAGCAGGTGTTTGTGACTGCTCTATGACTAACTCTGTACCATCGGCTATTTCTTCCGTAATTTCCGTAATTGTAGTCATCTGGAAGAAATTGAAGATTTAATTTTAGTTTTTCCTCTAAGCATTGAATTACAAGGTGTGAGACAAAGATTGGCTTTTGATAATTGCTCGGTAATCTTTATCTGAAATATTTACGATTATTCAGACAAGGCATTGCAAAACATGCAAAATGCAACTGCCTCCAATTTACCAAACTACAACCAACAATTGCCAAACAAAAAGTTGGAGGGTATAACAATATGTCAACCCTTGATGTGGTGACATAAAAAAACATCTGAATAAATAGCTTTGTATGAATTTGGTGCCTCATGCCTTGCTACCCCATGATATATTATCACTGTATCGCAAAGTGGCTTAGCAACCATATCTTTTGACCAATCAAATCAAAGTAATTCTTCTTTTTCCTTTCAATGCAGAGATATTTTTTGTATCTCTTGTGAAAGTTTCAAGGAAAAAGATTGAAAAACAAAAAAGAGCATTTTTATTGAACGACCTGAAATTACCTGCTTTTGACCTAACTTTGGATTGTCAGAATGTTGCATAGTTGCTGCGTCAACCAGGTCTGCTTCTTCATCAGCCAATCCCTGCTCTTCATCCTGTGTAATCTGGTAGACATCTGCATTGCTCGAAGGATCCTCTGGTATCATGAACTGAACATAGTATGTCCTGGTGACAACGGGGTACTCTGGCTGTTCATCTGGCCTCTACGATGGTAAGAAATAAATTACAGACAAGTTTCTGTGTTATGTTATTTAACTGCCATGTTGTTAAACTTTCATTGATAATTATATATTCAAATAAAAGTTATTATGTCATAAAAAACACCAATTTGTAACTTACCTTAATTTCATCTGGCATCAAAAGGCCATTAAGATGTGGAACTTTAATGATCAATTTACATTCATCTAGGATAAATTCTGAAAAGTTAAGCATTCAGAAAGTAAGTGCCAATCATAAACCCTGAAACCTGGGGTGGGGGGTTGGGGGGGTTATAAGCAGTAAAATGCTACCATCTGAGGAATTGCAATGATACAGAGTTTTGATATGAAGATCAAGATCTTTCCATTTTAGTGGGGATAGTTGGGGTTTGTTTTTTCTTATGACTGGTGTACTCATAGATGTTTTCTTTTACTTGCTGCAACAATCTGTAACAATTTTTGGTCCATCCCTTTAATTAGACCAAACACCTCTAGAACCAATCAAAAGTGTTTGGATTAGCAGGTGTTCACATTTCAAGATTTTCTTAAATAATATGTGAGTTTATAGGAGATAATAAAACTGGGACTGAGAGAAAAAAGTGTTCGCATTGAGAGATATTCAGATTAGAAAAGTGTTCACATATTCAGGTTATTTCCATATTTACATCTGCTAAATAAAGCATTACCTCTCCGTCTTGCCAATCCCTTGAAATGATGCTTCTCGTCTGCGGTAATTCGAATATCATCCAAGACATCAAGACGTCTAATGCTGTCTATGACGTAGCCCCTGTAGCCTGGTACAAGCTAAAATGTAATAAATATAAATGATTGAATAAACACTTTAAAGCGCAAGTACTGTTATGAATAGCTTCATACATTTACATAAGAAGTAATTTACCAATATGTTTATACATTTTTGTGTTTGATGAAATATTGCACAAGCCTACATTGCTTTTAACTTTACTTGGTCAATATACAGTATAAAGAGAGCACTCTCTGCACTGGCTAGTTTGTTTTTTGTTGATAGTATGTCACTTTTATATTAGAATGTGAATGGCTGCGAAACGATGAGTTTACATTCCTTTACTTAAATTAATGAAAATGACTTTTGTGAAAAATCAGTCCAACCCAGTGGGGATTGAACCCACGACCCTTTGCCATCTGGAAGAGCATACTACTACTGAGCTACAGGACTAGTTGATTTATCCAAATCATTATTGTAACTTACTGCAAGTGGATTGCCTTGTAATATGAGATTCCTGAGTTTTGGCATGGTCTGTAGCTTTCTCACTATGTCCATGAGGTCACACAGGCTATTGTGACTCAAGTCTAATGACAGCACACCAGGCCTGAAAAATTAAGTATCCACTTTTTTATTTTCGTGAAATTTTATCTTTACATTAAAAGAGAACACTACTGGGATCAGTCAAAGGTTTTTGGATTGAAGGACAACTGCAATGGGTTTTCTCAACTTGCAACTACAAAAATGTGTTTTTCTGCATTGAAAACCCAATGTAGAGGCATTCAGATTAGAGAGGGGTTTGGAGATACACTGGTTTTATTATATGAGCAAGAAGGGGACATACATGTATCATCCGGTGATCTAATCATAAGAAAATGTAATGTTGTTGTACCCTAGACCAAGATGGATGTGGGGAGGGGATGGGAGGTGTTCAGATTAGAGAGGTGTTCAGATATACAGTTTTTTATATAAGCAAGAGGGGAGACATACCAGTATTCTCCAGTGATGTAGTCATCAGTGAATGTAATGTTGTTGTACCCTAGACCAAGATGGATGTGGGGAGGGGATGGGAGGTGTTAGAATGAGAGAGGTGTTCAGATATACAGTTTTTTATATAAGCAAGAGGGGGGACATACCAGTATTCTCCAGTGATCTAATCATAAGAAAATGTAATGTTGTTGTACCCTAGACCAAGATGGATTAGGGGAGGGGATGGGAGGTGTTAGAATGAGAGAGGTGTTCAGATATACAGTTTTTTATATAAGCAAGAGGGGAGACATATCAGTATTCTCCAGTGATGTAGTCATCAGTGAATGTAATGTTGTTGTACCCTAGACCAAGATGGATGTGGGGAGGGGATGGGAGGTGTTCAGATTAGAGAGGTGTTCAGATATACAGTTTTTTATATAAGCAAGAGGGGAGACATACCAGTATTCTCCAGTGATGTAGTCATCAGTGAATGTAATGTTGTTGTACCCTAGACCAAGATGGATGTGGGGAGGGGATGGGAGGTGTTAGAATGAGAGAGGTGTTCAGATATACAGTTTTTTATATAAGCAAGAGGGGGGACATACCAGTATTCTCCAGTGATGTAATCATCAGTGAATGTAATGTTGTTGTACCCTAGACCAAGATGGATAAGGGGAGGGGGGTTGTGTACCAAATCTGCCAAGTCTTCTATCTTGTTGGCACATAGTTCCAGTACCTGTAATATAAATAATATAAATATACAGGATGGCTAAAAAATCTGCAACTCAATACACTCTTATTACATATATACTAACTTAACTAATATCTACAGGATGATCCAAAAGTAACATTTTGTACAATACCTTTACAATTTTGTCACCCCTGCATATTATGATTCCAGATAAGAGGGGAAATAACCCAGAATTCATAGTTGAACCTCTATCTTAACATGAGATAAGAGGGGAAAATAACCCAGAATTCATAGTTGAAACTCTATCTTAACATGAGATTAGAGGGGAAAATAACCCAGAATTCATAGTTGAATGTATATCTTAACATGAGATAAGAGGGGAAAATAACCCAGAATTCATAGTTGAACATATATCTTAACATGAGATAAGAGGGGAAAATAACCCAGAATTCATAGTTGAATGTATATTTTTACATGAGAAAAGATCACCAGTCCTATGAATTCTGTGTATTTTCACCTATTATTCTAGCTCTAAGCTTTACGATTACGTACATGTAGGTTTGGGGGAAGGTTGCGTGAGTTCACTGTCTCCAAGAGGTTTGCTGTGAGCGTCAATTCTTCCAAATTGGGAAATTGCAGTAAATTAGGGTCAACTTCAGACACCTAAAAAGAAAAAATGTGAAATAATTAGTCAAATTGTGATGTTGTTTCTCCTTCAAATTTTCCACACAAAATATTATATTTAAAATTTATTTTATTAAGTATGTTTTAATCAGCGCAATAATCTCCAATTCTTCTTTTATGATCTTAAATAATGTGAACTAATACAAATAATATAATAAAATTTAGGACTTCGATTATTTTACCTCACCCCAAAGATGCTATAACTACTTTCTGAGACCATCATAAAATTTATGTTAGTCTCAGCTACTTTGAACAATTGATGCTCAAACATCACCCCTAAGATACTTAATTATTTTGAACAATTGATACTTTGACATCATCCCTAAGATACATAACTATTTTGAACATGCATTTCAAACTTTGACATCACCCCTAAGATCTCACATTTTTATCTACAATACGTAGAGTTTTAAAGTGACTTAGAATGAATTTGTCGTCAATCAACCATGGTGATTTCACTGCTATTTCCCGCAATTGTTTCGCTTCATCACTCCAGCTATAATCCAGGTTCCAGGGCGACTTCTTGGCTTTTACATATTCCTCTAAGAGCTCTGTCTTTTCATGCTGGGCCCCGTAATCTGCATAATTAAGAAAATGATCAGATGTTGAACTAAAATATAAACACTTCATGGTATGTGAACACTTGTAACTTACTACATGGAACACTTTATTTTGTGAACTTTAGAAAGTGAAATGTAATGAAAAGCTCAACACCTCTAAAATTACACTAAATATGATATGTCAAAAGACTTTGTTACATGTGTAAAAATCAGAAATATTGTACCCCTGGCAGCCATTTTAGAACTATTTCCAGCTACCCTTTCTCAAATTGAATGATCTATGGCATAGTTCAACCAAAATTTGTCCTCATATTTCTGCACATTTTGGAGCATCTCAAAAGTTCAATGTAGGATAACTAACTGTTGAATAGTTTATCTGTGAACCCCCTTCCATTGTTTAAGAAATGTTGATATTTTTTTACAGTATCAGCATAAACATATCTCACTGTATAATCCTGAGTTTATATTCAACAAAATTTGCACTCATAAAATTCCTGGGAATGATGTTAGAAAGCTAACTTTTAAGGCTGATGACCCCCTCTCCCCTTGCTGGTGAAATACAGTTAATTTTCCAACATTAATCTTTGGAAATGCTCCCTTATTTCATATGTACTGAAGATCATCTATCAAATACAATTGTCCAATGCAATTAGTTTACCTTTTAGTGTCACAGAAAAATGGTTGGATACTCTGTTTCCTGTTCCTTTGGTCTTCTTTGCAAGTGATTTTCCTTCAGTTTCTCTCTGTAATGAATAACATCAGATTTAAAGCAACGAGGAGAAAATATTACAGTCTATAACAGTGTAATTAGGCGTAGCCAGGATTCGCCAAGGGGGGTTAAGTTTTCAAAAATTTTCAGGGGGTTCATATTTGACAATTATGGACAAATATGACTAAAATCACTTGAGAAGTGCTCAAAATGGTGAAAAACTGCATGATTTTGAAATAATTTTTGGCCGGGGGGGGGGGGGGGGGGGGGGGGTCGCCGGCCCGAACCCTGCGAACCCACCCTGGCTACTGGCCATCTTGCTATCTTAACCTACGTGTAATATTTATGGACAAGTTTCTGATACGTAAGGTATGTTTTATTAGGGTTTTGGATAAGGGATGGAATGGAACAAATCCATGATTATATGAGAGTACAACGCTGCACATCATTCATTAACATTCAAATACGAAATCAAATATTGAATTGTATGATGCTGGTACATGTACATGTACATGTAAATACATGTATATATTTATCTCATATGTACATTTTTGTATGTAAACTAGTCCTACATATAGAGATTTTTATTAATTACACTTTTTGAAACTTGGTGTTAAACTTTTATATGCCTTCTGATTATTCTTCATATTCCTTTTGTCAGACATGTCATAATAGCAATCCAAAAGGTTTAAACTAATACATGTACTTTGATAATTTCTTGTATTTTGAAATGTTTTGTAAGGTACGGTCATATTCAAAATTCTATTGAGTACTTTGAACTTAAAAATAATCAATAAAATGACATATATTGCAACAGTTTATGGATCGAAACATAGAAACATATGTACACGTACAAGGCCTATAACTTTTGTATATTTCAGATACTTACATGTAGGTCTAATGTGCAGAAAAGCTGTGGCCTTTTGTAATTTTTTCAGCCATATTAATTTTTCCAAAAATAACATGGCAGAGAAGCATCAAAATATAGAAGGCCATACATGTGATAGCCGAATTACAAATCAAACCAAAATATACAAAAGTTAGGCCATGTATGAATGTTTCTATTTCTTATATACTGATTCAATGTGGTCCTTTGATTGCTTATTTTGTAGATTCAAAATACTCAATGGAATTATGAATTTGACTTTACATGACCTATAAGGCCAATACTGGGAGACAATCCTCCTGGTCTCCATGCCAGCCGATATGATTATATAATGACAGGCAATAGAATAAATGGTCTGTATTTTCTGGATGATTTTTATATAATGTCCAATGTAATTGGCTGATGTGTACTGTAATCAGGTAATATGCTAAAGTAAAAATAAAATTAAAAATCGAAATAATTTCAAAAAATAAATCTTACCCAACTACCACCTCCGCATGGGAATTCTGTTAAACACAGCGTTCTAAGCTGCGTTTCAAATGCTGCAAATGCTGGTGTTGCTGCTATTGCTGTCATTTTAATTGTAATTGATTAAAGAAGTCTGAGTTTATAGCCATTTTTCAAGTTTCAAATTTTGTTTTAGCAACACGATCCGCCATCTTGGATTTAAAACTTGTCATGTCAAAAACTTTATACCCTAAATTTTGACAATAAAATCAATTAATTAACGTAATGAAATGGAATTAAATACTTCTGTTATCAAATATTTCTCGAATATGAATTGTTGATGTTTTTTAAGATATATATTTTGTGACTTCAAGTAATAAATCATAATTTAATTATTAGTGGATAACTTGTGTTATTTGACCTCAAGGTCACTACACATGTACTTTTTAGATCTGTTCTAAATCTGTCCATGTTTTGGTGAATTTTTAAGCAATAGCTGCACCAGGTATTATTATTCACCTGTATAATTGTTGATAAAGTACCATTCATTGTACTCTATTTGCTAGGGATGTCATATCTTTTGCACATCTTAGGAATTTAGGTCGAACATTTTCAAAAAATTGTAAAAGCAGAAATCACAGGCAACGAAATGAAGTTCTAATACGTGTGTAATGTACATGTGTAATGTAATGTAATCTTCATTCCCCTGGGGCGCCCTCGGGTCATTACATTGGTGTCAGATGTGGGATCAGAGCATTGGTATCAAGTGCCACTCCTACCTATAAGTGTCGCAGTATATGTAGCTTGTTTCAATTGTACATTGTTTTATTTTGATTTCAGATACAAAATGGGTGGACGATCCAGATCAAGATCTAGGGATCGTAAGTCAAGAGATCATAGGTCGAGATCAAGAGATCGTAGATCTAGGTCAAGGGATCATAGGAGATCAAGGTCTTATTCAAGGGAAAGATCTCGAAAAACTAGAAGACATTCACGGTCTCTTTCCAAGGAGCTCTCCAACTCCAGGAATCGAAATAAGTATAGGTCCAGGTCTAGAGACCGAAACAAGCAAAGGTCCAGGTCGAATGATAGAAACAAGCATAGATCCAGGTCGAGGGATAGAGAGCGATCCAGAGACAAACATAAGAGGCATACTTCCAGGTCAAAGTCAAAGGAGAAGTATTCCAAAACTAGATCAAGAGGTTCAAGGTCACATTCACGTAAAAGGTCAAGATCAAGAGAGGTCAAAAGGTCAAAAGAAAGATCTTATTCAAGAGAAGAATCAAGTTCACCAATTAGGAAAAAAAGACCTCAATCAAAAGAAAAATATGAGACATTGAAAAAAGAAAGATACATCTCCGAATCAAGTGATAAAAAATTAAGACGGAGAGAACAATCTCGATCTCCTAAAAGGTCCAAATCAAGAGAAAGGAATGATTCATCGAACAGACAGAGGCACCAGTCATATGATAGATCAGTGTCCCGTGAGAAACTATATCCTAAGGATGAAAAATTGAAGAAACACAGAACAGGTACTGAAGAAATTTACCAATCTGAAAATTCAAAGAGAAAATCAAGACCTGATACTTCCAGAAACAGCAAGAAAACACTTCGAAGATCTAAGTCCAGTAGTGGAAGTGAAAGATCTAGATCGCGATCTCCCCAGCCACAATATGATTGTTCTCGTAAAAGATCAGTATCACAAGATAATGCAAAAAATAAATCTTCGAGACTGGATGAAAAATCAAAGACTGAATTAGTTTCTCCAAAAAGACAAAGACGCGACTCATCTACTAGCTCTAAATTCCATGGGAGGTCATCAAGGTCAAATGGAAGGTCAGAATCACATGATGACCGAGGCAATGCAAAAGAAACTAAGGAATCTTACACTTCAAGGGAATCTAGAGATAAACAAGAAGTTAATTCAAATAAACAATCATCCAGTGAAAATAGGGATTTAAGTAGGCCAAGAAGATCAGAAGAATCCCAATCAAATAAGATGGCATCATCCAAATTAAGGAATACTAGCGTATCACCAAAACACAGATCAATGACAAAGGATATGAACAGACTGTCTGAAAATGATAAAGACACAAAACAAATGGATAATACTTCAAAAGCAAAACGCAAGGCTCGGTATGATTCCACATCTGATAGTGATATGGATAGCTCAGATTCTGAACCAGAAAGGAAAAAGAAGAAAAAGAAAAGGTAGCTAAATTAATTGTATTCTATGATTGTCTTATGAAATCCCATTTGTTCATGATCCAGATGATAATTAATGTGTAACTCTTCCAGGGCCAGATCATAACTAATGTTTAACTCTTACAGGGCTAGATCATCATTTATGATCATAATTAAAGTTGAACTTCTCAAAGATCATAATTATTGTGTTTAACTCTGCCAGGTCCAGCTGATAATTAATGTTTAACTTTTCCAGGGCTGGATCATCATTTATGATTAACTCTTCCACGGTAGATCATGAATGTTTTACTCTTTCATAGCCAGATCATCATAAATGATGAACTGTTCCAGGGCCAGATCATCATTTATGTTTAAAACTCTTCTGGGGTTGCATTGTCCTTAATGTTTAACTCTTCCAAGGTCAGATGATAATTAATGTTTAACTCTTTCAGGGCTAGATCATCATTTATGTTTAAAACTCCTCTGGGGTTGCACTGTCCTTTATGTTTAACTCTTCCAAGGCCAGATGATAATTCATATTTAACTCTTTCAGGGCCAGGTCATCCTCATCATCCTCATCTTACTCTTCCTCGTCTAGTGAAGAGGAAAGAAGACGAAAGAAAAAACGCAAGAAAGACAAGAAGAAAAAGGAGAAAAAGAAGATGAAAAAACTGAAGAAAAAGCTGAAGAAGGAAAAAAGAAAATCTGAAAAATTGCTTAAAAGTGGCAACAAATCAAAGCCAAGCCTGGATGGTATTCAGAATAAGCTTCTGGCAATGGCAGGGATGGCTAATCCTGGTGGAGGGGATGGTGACATTGGGCCTAATTTTGGTAAGAAGGAATAAATTTTTGTGTGTAAAATGTCAATGTCGGGGTGTCATGGAAGATGTTATGATGTCATGAAAAATGTCGGCTGACTATGATGTGATGACACAAAGTTATGGTGTCATATGAAAATATAAACTCAAGTAACCTGATGTTTGAAAATACTATCCTCCATTCACCTAAACAAGTAATTTTGGTTAAAATTATTTTGTAATTTCCTAAAGACAAAAGCATTTACTTTGACAATAAAATGAACTTGAAACAATTACAAAATTACAAATTTTATGAAAGGTTGGCGATGAATACTTTAGTGAATAAATGGAATTAAAACATGTTAAAAAATACATATCTTCAACGCTTTATAGAAAAGGCGAAGAGAGAGTCATCTCGCAGCATGGCTCCAATGACAAAGGAACAATGGGACAAAAAGCAGAGTGTAACCAGACATGTTTATGATGAGGAGTCTGGTAGAACCAGGTTGATTAAAGGAGATGGTGAAGTGATTGAAGAGATTGTCAGCAAGAAGAGACAGAAGGAAATCAATAAGGTTGGTGGTGTAGTCTTAGTACAAGTGGTGCATAGAGAGAACTGTAGTCAACATGATTATGAAAAATTGTTTCAGATTGTGTCAAGTCTACGATATAGCGTGTCCTTTCGTCTCATTTTTTCCGAATCAATGAAGAAAATTCCAAAATTGGCCCCAGCTTTGCACTGAACTCCTTAATACAATCTAATTGTATACCCTTTTCGACTACGAGCAGAGTTTTTTCTATAAAACCTTTTGGTCCTAACTTATTAACACTAATTTATTTGTTTTTTTTCCCTTTCAGGCAGCTACTTTGGCAGATGGAAGATCATTTCAGAAACACACTGGATTATATCACTAAATAATATAGAATAATCACTCTGAACAATATAACTGAATATAGGATTAAACTCAGAATAATATCACTGAATATAGGATTAACATTGGACAATATCACTAAATATAAGATTAAACTCTGGACAATATCACTAAATGTAGAATTAACCTCTGGACAATATCACTAACCTATCCAGAAGGATAGAGATGGAGAGGGTGTGGCTTACCATGATGCACTAAATGTGTGATTAAACAACTGGACAATATCACTAAATCTAAGACAATACTACTGAATATAGTATTAAAGCTGGACAATATCACTAAATATAGGATTACATGCTTCACAATATCGCTAAATATAGGATTAAACTCAGAACAATTACTAAATATAGGAATAAACTCCAATACCACTAAATATAGGATTAAGCCCTGAACAAAATCACTAAATCTAAGACAAGAAAATGTAGGTTTAAGAATTATTTAGATATTGTAAAATATCACCAAATATGTTTTATTTACTAGGAGGCATTGAATATGGAATTTAGGAACGGACAAAGGGAAATATTGTATTGCCTATGGGTATAAAACCAATAATATTCACTTTCCATTTATACCCCAGTATGGAATGCAGTGATCCCCACAGGTTTTTTCTCAAGTGGGTGCACAATTCTCATTTTCACAAGTCAGACCAAAATTGGTTAAATTATGCCCATATTCCATGATTTTCGAGGTGGGTGCAAATGGATTTTCAGGTGGGTTCAATCCTATTTTCAAAATCTCAGGTGGGGGCAGCGCTGCGCCCACTTGCTTCAATGCTGGGGAGATCACTGGAATGATTTAACTTGTGTAACTTTCAGCTATCACGATTCACATAATGATATGTGTAAAGAATTCAATTCAATACCACATGTACTAGAATAGTAACATACATATGATTTGCATGAATTTTTATTGATAATTTTAGACATTGAATTACTTAAAAATAAAAGTGCTGGAGAATATAATAAGATATTCTTTCAATTAAATATGATACAAAGTTTGATCCGCAGTAATATTAAACCAAGGAAAAAATAACTCACATAGAAAATGGCATTTGAAGTTCAGAGATCATTAGAAGTGCATGCACATTTTTGACAAAGTGCATGTTTTAAATTACCCTTGATTTAAAAGATGGCGACACTTCTATAATAAAAGTGAATGTATCATGTAAAAAAACTACTTCGCCATCTTTCATTGGCATTGATGAAAACTTGATATATAAAGCTTGACAGAACAAAAATATTTTTTGATTACATACTGCAAGCTTCGATGTGGCCCGTTGGACCTGTTTTGGTGTTAAATGAAAGATAAAGTACTTATCAATCCATTGGAAATATTTGAATACAAATTCAAATGTAAGACTTTATTTTGCCACAAAATGTTGAAAATTCGCAAAGTTGACCTTTGAAGAACCACTTTGCAAATTTTCAACATTTTGTGTATCATCATCATCATGGAATAAATGGTGTCTTATTGCAATTTCTTTATAGAATGATGGATATCACATGTTCTGTAATATTTTTGATCAACACAGCCGACCTGAGGGGGGGGTGTATAGGGGGTCTTGGAAGTCCATATACAATATTTTTCAGCCCTCTTATACCATATACAATATTTTTTCACCATATACAATATTTTTTGCCTCTCTTATACCATATACGATATTTTAGGTGAAATACAATATACGATAATTTTGAAACTGCTGTTGATTAATGTTTGGATATTTATAAGGAAATAATATTAGGAGGGAATCCATGTACTACCAAATATATTATTATGAGGCAAATAGACTGCACAGTGCACATAATTAGACCACAATAATTCCATTTTATACATTATCAACAATATTCATTTTGGACACAACCCCATGGTCAAAAATTCTGTAACTCCATATTATTGTCAAGAAGACAAATTGTACAACTTAATGTACTTCTTTCTTATGACTTATGTCAATTGACCTTAAATAATTCATTTCCACATAGAAGTTTTGTTTGCCAGTTTCAATAAAATGTTTAAAAATTGGTGACCTACTTCTTTTGAAACTACTGAAAGTAGATCACTGAAAGTTCTCATATTTTTAAACATCTCTACACTCTTGTCTTGTCTATAAAGTGTATTCTTTGTGGACAATGTTGGATCAAGTTATTAATAATTGAAAGTAGCATGACTTCAATGAGGATTGCCAAAAACATACTGGCTTACCTTAACAATAGTAAATAATAGTTAGCCTACATATAATATCAATTGATTTCATAATTATGTTCAGGGTGTTTCATGATGAATGTCCTCCCATCCAAAGTCAATCCTAGGTTATATACCTTTACAATCTTTATATCATAAAAAACCTTATACAGTATGGATTTATGGGTCACATACACATGTATCGTCATGATCGATAAATGGGAACATAATTTGTGAAGTTATGTTTGGAAGTAACTGTTGCATTTAGCAAGGTACAGTGTTGGTGTTTGAGAAAAGGTTGCATTTAGATTATGTACTTAGAAATGGGTACCTTTTTGTAGAGATGTTTAGCAACACTGATCAACTGAATCAGCTTTCACATGCTATATGATAGGTTATAAATTATAACAAGGCATTAACATGACAAAATGTCACCACCTAAAACAATTTGGTCAATTTAAAGCAAGTTGGAAAATACCTTTTGACCTTAAGAAGGTTTGATTTGAACTTCTTAGAACATGTAGATGATTTTGAAAAAAAGATTCGTCAATTTGAAGCAAGTTGAAAAAATACCTCTTTGACTTTTTTTGACATTGAGAAGGTCATTGAAGGTCAAATGTCAAATGTAAAGTCAGATTTGAACTTCTGAGAACATGTAGATGATTTTGAAAAAAAAATTAAGTAAATTTGAAGCAAGTTGATAAAAGACCTTTTTGACCTTGAAAAGGTCATTGAAGGTCAAATGTCAAATCTAAAGTCAGATTTGAACTTCTGAGAACATGTAGATGATTTTGAAAAAAAATTAGTCAATTTGAAGCAAGTTGAAAAAAGACCTTTTTGACCTTGAGAAGGTCATTGAAGGTCAAAGGTCAAATCTAAAGTCAGATTTGAACTTCTGAGAACTTTTAAAGTCAAATTTGAACTTCTGAAAAGATGTAGATGATTTTGAAAAAAAAAAATTGGTCAATTTGAAGCAAGTTGAAACAGACCTTTTTGACCTTTTTTGACCTTGAGAAGGTCATTAAAGGTCAAATGTCAAATCTAAAGTCAGAATGAATTTCTGAGAACATGTAGATGATTTTGAAAAAAAATTTGTCAATTTGAAGCAAGTTGAAAAAAGACCTTTTTGACCTTGAGAAGGTCATTGAAGGTCAAATGTCAAATCTAAAGTCAAATCTAAAGTCAGATTTGAATTTCTGAGAACACGTAGATGATTTTGAAAAAGATTTTTAGTCAATTTGAAGCAAGTTGAAAACAGACCTTTTTGACCTTTTTTACCTTGAGAAGGTTATTGAAGGTCAAATGTCAAATCTTAAGTCAAATCTTAAGTCAGATTTGAATTTCTGAGAACACGTAGATGATTTTGAAAAAAAAATTTAGTCAATTTGAAGTAAGTTGAAAACAGACCTTTTTGACTTCTTTGACCTTGAGAAGGTCATTGAAGGTCAAATGTCAAATCTAAAGTCAGATTTGAAGGTCAAATGTCAAATCTAAAGTCAGATTTGAATTTCTGAGAACATGTAGATGATTTTGAAAAAAAATTTAAGTAAATTTGAAGCAAGTTGAAAAAAGACCTTTTTGACCTTGAAAAGGTCATTGAAGGTCAAATGTCAAATCTAAAGTCAGATTTGAACTTCTGAGAACATGTAGATGATTTTGAAAAAAAAATTAGTCAATTTGAAGCAAGTTGAAAAAAGACCTTTTTGACCTTGAGAAGGTCATTGAAGGTCAAAGGTCAAATCTAAAGTCAGATTTGAACTTCTGAGAACTTTTAAAGTCAAATTTGAACTTCTGAAAAGATGTAGATGATTTTGAAAAAAAAATTGGTCAATTTGAAGCAAGTTGAAACAGACCTTTTTTGACCTTGAAAAGGTCATTAAAGGTCAAATGTCAAATCTAAAGTCAGAATGAATTTCTGAGAACATGTAGATGATTTTGAAAAAAAAAATTGTCAATTTGAAGCAAGTTGAAAAAAGACCTTTTTGACCTTGAGAAGGTCATTGAAGGTCAAATGTCAAATCTAAAGTCAAATCTAAAGTCAGATTTGAATTTCTGAGAACACGTAGATGATTTTGAAAAAGATTTTTAGTCAATTTGAAGCAAGTTGAAAACAGACCCTTTGACCTTTTTTACCTTGAGAAGGTTATTGAAGGTCAAATGTCAAATCTTAAGTCAAATCTTAAGTCAGATTTGAATTTCTGAGAACACGTAGATGATTTTGAAAAAAAAATTTAGTCAATTTGAAGTAAGTTGAAAACAGACCTTTTTGACTTCTTTGACCTTGAGAAGGTCATTGAAGGTCAAATGTCAAATCTAAAGTCAGATTTGAAGGTCAAATGTCAAATCTAAAGTCAAATCTAAAGTCAGATTTGAACGTCAAATGTCAAATCTTAAGTCAAATCTAAAGTCAGATTTGAATTTCTGAGAACATGTAGATGATTTTGAAAAAAAATTTAGTCAATGGGAAGCAAGTTGAAAAAAGACCTTTTTGACCTTGAGAAGGTCATTGAAGGTCAAATGTCAAATCTAAAGTCAGATTTGAACTTCTGAGAACATGTAGATGATTTAGAAAAAAAATTGAAGTCAGTCTAAACAGTATTTGTTAAGTTATAGTAAGTTGTAAGAAATTGTTACAGACGCCGGACGCCAACCTCCAACCTCCAACCACCAACCGCCGTCGCAAAAAACGGAGACCATAACAATATGTCACCACTTTTAGTGGTGACATAATAATAAATAGTATTTATAAAGTTTAAAATCAAGTGAACATGTATGATGTAACTCAGGAATGATGATCATTAATTTACATAATCATTAAGATATGAGGGTACCCTTGTCTGCCTTCTATTTCCTCGAGATACCCCTGTCACCTTTTTTTGCACTAAAGGTTCATCAATTTCATCATTTTCATCATCTGATGGTGTTTGGAATAAATTCTCATATTCCTCAATAGTAAGGTTCAAAACACCCTCTTCATTAAACCTCATGTCTGAAAGAACTTCAACAACTTCCGTCAAATGGATGATGGTGTTTTCAGCTTGATGAAATGATGCAGGCCTGTCAACTGTCCCGCAATTTGCGTATTTGTCACGCATTTGCTGAATAATTTGAAGTCACGCCAGTTTTTTTTGCGTGACAGAAAATGTCACGCAAAATACGCATTTTACCTGGTAATTGTCAAGCAAAAATATTTCTGTAGAAATTTTTTCGAAATATGTTTACGATACGGTAAAAATACGAACGCCGGAAAAAACCGAACGCAATTTGTTCGGATTTGTCACGCAAATCCCGTATGTGTCACGCATGTTCATTGGAAATTGTTCGTACCTACCCCCCCCCCCCCCCCCCCCCCCCCCCCCCCCCCCCCGTTGACGATATCGCGAGCGTAGCGAGCGCGAAAAATTTGAGGTGTTCAAAGTTTGGCAAAGGTGCTCAAACTTTGGCCAAAGGTGTTTAAAAGTTGGCCAAAGGTGTTCAAAATTTGGACAAAGGTGTTCAGATTTGGACTTAGGTGTCCAACATTTTGAAGTCACTCATATTAGGTGGTCCCAAGTTGACAGCCCTGAATGATGTAACATCTCTTTCTGTATTTTCAAGCCATTTGGCCTGAATCAGTCTGTCATCGTCTGTTACCTCAATCGATACAACACATAGACGGACCTCTCTTTTCGTTTTTACACATAATATTGAGGTTTTTGCGAATCTAGCTATAAGTTGTGGTGTGTTTTGACCTTTGAAGATATCATCCATTTCCATATTGACATATTCATGATCCTCCTTTACTGTTGGTGTAGAATAAGCGTACAGCGGAAGTGTACCAACTTTGTCTTTTGTAGTTTGACTTCGTATGGCCAGCTGCCGAACACCTTGAAGGTATGATTTTCTATAGTCTTGCAGGAGTTGTACTTCTCCAGGATCCAGATGATTATGCTCCTGCTTGGGAATTTGGGGCATTTTATCAAGAGTCATGTGTATATTAGACGCCATTCGCTCGTAGTATTTTTCATTTGTATGATAAATAAATGGCAGATTGCCTGCTCTCATGATTAAATTATCCACGGCGTGTGGGAACAGTCTACTAAAGTCAAGCATTTATGTTGTGGTGCTAATGGCTATTCATATTAGGCATGTTTAATTGTTTTAGATAAAATATTTAGGTAACTGGTGACATATTAAGACTTCAGATTCCTTTAGATACCATATACCATATATTTCTCTTGTACCATATACCATATTTTTTTCTTCTCTTGTACCATATACGATAAATTTTGGCCCCTCTTATACAATATACAATAAATTTTCACGCTCTTATACGATATACGATATCTCTATACACCCCCCCACCTGACTGTGAGAATACAAATGAACAATATACATAAGAGACTACTAACATTGTCGTGATTATGTTTCTGAGTTAATACAATGTGATTGCATATTGTTAGTACATGTGTACAAGTTTTTATAATATAAGAAAAATAAACAATCTATAATAAATGTAACATAGTTGTATTTTTATGTACATGTATGGTACTTTGAAATAGATGGAGTACTATTAGTTGTTGTATTGTTTTTGTAGGTTTATACATTTCAGTTGTTTCCTAAGGCCAAAGTATTCGATATATGAACACTATTTTGGCTATTTATTATTCATCCCCCAATGTCAGTTATTTTTGGTGGTCTTTTGGTCTCATTTTCCATTTTAAAATGGGCAAGTCATATTTTGAAAAAAGGGCAAAATATGGTTAAGGAAACTAACAAAATAGTGAAAGGAGTTGCCAGATTGAAAATTTTTACAGATTGTATATTTCAACCTTCAATTATCAATTTCTCTCTTAGTATGTGTTATGTATTTATAATATAATATTCTTCAATAAATAATTAATGCATACCAGTGATCTCCCCAGCATTAAAGCAGCACCTAAAAAATCATGAAAATTGGCATATTTTGACCAATTTTGGTTTGAATTGTGAAAAAGAAAATTTTGCACCCACTTGAGAAAAAATTCTGTGGACAAAACTGCATACAATATGGAATGAACAACGATTTTTTTATTTATTTGTTACTTAGATTTGACCCTCATCAGAACATAAAACACAAAATTAACTTTTACTGAACTTATGCAAGTATGGAACTGTACAGCTGATATAAAAAAAACTAGCTGTTTTCCAGTATATATTTCCGCAGTAATTAAATGATGGAGTTTCTGCTGTTTGTGTTATTATTGGCAATTGGGATTTAGTGTAATATTTGTGATTCTGAGATTTGCCTGTTGTGCATTTTAATAAGACTACCAATTTGTACATATCAGAGTAAAATGATAAATCCAAATACCATGTGAAGATTGAGATATCTGTTTCCCTAGTAACCCTTCAGGCTTATATGTTTAGTCGTCCTGTTCATATTTAGATCATATTCTTTATACGAGGAAGTGTGGATTCAAGATTATAATCATTGTATTACCAAAATGTACAATTTCTGAGTGCAGCTCTTGACCTACTTTCACTCAGTAAAGTCCAAAAGTTCTATTTTGACTTGTTTTTCCAAAATATCTTGGTGTATGATGGAGTAAGCGATCCATGCATTGTATCATTTATTGGATATTCCCCATAGAATGTAAGTTTTTAATATCTCGTGTGATTATGTATTATACGTCAATTTATCGCAATTTAGAAACTGCAATAAAAGTTTGTAAAAAATTGTGACAAAGTTCAAAGGTTCAAAACATCTAAATAAAAGTACACCATTAGTACAATTTATGGAATAGTTTACCCTTTTATGATTTTGAGCAAATATAAGCCTTATAATTGCATAGGCGAAGCTCCCAGTACGACTGGTTTGTACAGGCGTACCAGAATGGTTGCAAATACACTTCAAATACATGTACAAAAAAACTCAAAATTCCCCCCCCTGAACGCTCGTTTTCGCTTCGCTCACCCCATATTCCCATGGTGGCGTACTACTCATAAGTATAGCGCTACACCCATGAATTGGTCATATATATTAATTTCAATTTACAGTTAGGCATTATACATTATCGAGTTCCATACCTACCGTGAACTTGGCTAAAGTTTAGTCATACAGAGGAGGTCTTGTTCAGCCCTATGTTATATTTCAAAAGTCAATAACTGTTGGCATTAATCTAGCTATACACATACTTCTCATCTCAGTTGATTCAAACATTCATTTGCTAGAGTCCATTGCACTAGTGCTTCATTGCGTCAGTAGAACGGCAAAAATAAGAAATTGGGAGACCATTGGGCAATAATATATGGAAAAGTATATTCATAATGTACATGAATGACATTTGTATATTTCAGATTTTTTAGTTTTTGTGCAATAAGCCTGTGCCGTCTTGTAATTTGAAGAATTTCAGCCATGTTAATTTATTGAAAATAACATGGCAGAGACGCATCCAAATATAAGAGGCCACACACTTTATAAGCCAAACTAGAAGCAATCCAAGATATACAAATGTCATTCGTGTACAATACGAATATATTTTTCCATATATTATTGCAAAATGATATTTTGATTTCTAATTTTTTAGCTTTTACTGACGTAGTTAAACAGTGAAATGTACTCTACACACATTCTCACTCAGTGACAAAAGTTTTGGCAGTCTCAACTTGCTGAGTCATTCGCCTGACATTTTTTATCCAGGTTTCAAATGTGCATTGTACATTCATTTAGGTATAATTTGTTAATCCATTTGGAAAGTATTGCCGAGGTTTTTGATGGTGGACATTTTGAAAGATGTGATGTACCCCAGGCTATAGTTCTCCCAGTTGAATGCATCTTACAATCAGATATTTATTTTCAGCATGATGCGTGCCAGTCAAGTTCTCCGCACAAAGACTTTGCGTCATCATCTAGATAAGCATACCCAAAATGTTGCTATGGCAACCACAAGTCAACGCCGTGATAAGAGCACCAAAGCTGTCATATTTGACATGGGAGGAGTCATTCTCCCCCCTCCCTTCAAAGTGTTCTTTGGTGAGTTCATTTGACATTTGTAAATAGGTGTAATGCATGTGTACATGTAATTTAATGATTTATATTTACGAGGGCTGTCCAAAAAGTCTTGAAAAGTGTGAATAAAAAAGATGAATAAATTAGTGCATTCATGTTGATGAATTAATATTAAGTGTAAAGGAGAGAATGAAAAGAAAATCCCTCTTTATCACTCTTTATGTACTGAAGTTCTTGGGACGGAGAGTGGAGGGTCTGCTGATTTTTTATCGGGAAAACCCTATTTGTCCTAGTGCATGTGATACAGTACTGTCAAGGGGCTCCATGTTATTTTGTCACAACACAACATGATCACAAAATAGCATTCCGTCCAGTATTTCACTCTCTAGACTTGGTTTAGAAGAATTTCTATGTATAACAACGCTAGGTATGTTGAAGTTTAGAACATTTAGAAATAGATTTTATAAAATTTTTTGATAAATTAGAAACTCCATTGTAGATTTTGAGGCCCAGAATGGTTTACCACAGGGAATCATACTGAAGACAATTGTTGCTAGTGGAGAGACAGGGTCTTGGGCAGCACTCGATCGGGGAGAACTAACAGCTGAAGATTTTGGGAAGCCTTTCAGTGAAGAGGTCTCCAAACAGGTAATATACCAAAAATATACAGTAAAACCTTTCTAATCCAAAAAGTGTCGTTATCATGGTAATCTCAGATGGAAGATGTGAAATGGGACTAAAAAGGGTTCACATTGAGAGGTGTTCAGTTTGGAGAGGTGTTCAGATATAGGTTTTGCTGTACATGGGTAGTCTAGTTAATGCCTTGAGGACGTCTAATGTTTGTATTGCAGAACAAAGTGGAAAAACAAGAAATAAGAAAGCATTTTGTAAAGCAGTTTATCCCCACCTATGTAACAGGAATCATTGTTTATATAAATTAATATAAAGTCCATGAATTATTTTAATGTATAGAAATGATAAATGTTTTATAGAGATTGTATTTCAACAAAAAAACTCTAAATTTTATTTGTATGACCTTTATGATTGGTAAATTCTGCGGCATTTATAATTACAGTAAAACCTTCAGAAGTGGAACACCGTTGGTACCTCTGATAAAAAGTGTTCCACTAAGGAAATGTTTTACTTACGTTGAAGACAGTTGATCATGGGACTGAAAAGTGTTCAACTTACAGGGTGTTCCACTTCTACAGGTTTTACTGTATATAAATAAATAAAGGGATATAATATTTGACAAATATTTCAGCTTGGTCGGCAAGTTACTGTGAATATGCGTGGTATTATAGACAAATTCGCAGGTCTAGAGAGAGGAGCACCAATCCCAGCTATGGTTGATGCTATAAATTGTATCAATGCTGAAGGTGTAAAAACAGCACTTTTGACCAACAATTGGAAGATCAATGACACTAAGAGCCACTGCCCTGTAGATAAAGATATGTTTAATGTTGTGAGTGAATGATACAAGGGTGTGGTTTAATTATGGATATTCTTCAATCAATCATTTGTTATGGGCCAATCAAAGTTTTGTTTGAGACCCTCCTAGGCCCCAGATGGGAATTTGTGAAGTAGTATTGTCTAAGGGACATTCCAGGAGTAGCTACTTTTGAAATGCTTATTCCGAGTAATTGGAATTTTGGCTTTATTTGATCCGCTATTATTGCTCATAGGATGGGGAATTGATTGATTAGGTTGCTCCCAGGGTACGGGAATTTGCCAATATGGGTTGGGAATTTGAAAAAATAAAAATTGAGCTGTCAGTCTCACGCAAACCTTTGAATGGCGCATTAAAGAACATGCTATACGATGCATATCTGGACACACAAACATCAAGTTTTAGTACTTAAAATTGATAAGTATCAAATTCTGAATGAAGAAATCCATAGTTGACCATTAAAAACCCACCTTAAAACCATTTTTACATTCATACATTCAATTTCAATATTTTTTTGGCAGTTGGGTAGACAAGTTGATGTACAACCAATGATGATGGGGTTTATGAAGTTCCCAGATATCTCAACGCCTTATAAAAGTATGCTTGATGCTTTTGACTGCATAAGGGCAGAGGGCATAAAAACGGCAATAATTACAAATAACTGGATTGTGGATAAATCTGGAGCTTCAGCTCTTCCTGACGGTGTTCAACCTGAAAAATTTGATGTGGTGAGTCATGAAAAAAGACCCCTTATAAGACAAGGATCTAATGTAATATAAGACCCCTTATAGAACAACAGGTTAAATATTTTTTTGTAGATCAACTTGTCTACTCAAACTAAAGCTCCTGCAGTGTATGTGCGCCATGTTTGCAACTATAAATCTGCCTTTAATAATCAACATCAAATAATAATGGCATTAAGGGAATGAAAAAGAATAGTAACCTAACAGTCTCAGCCTCGGATATACAGCTAAAGGATTTATATATATCATGCCTTTGCGTGTCTTTCTTTAAGTTTATAAGGCAATTAAAGGAATAATCAATTATTATTTATGTGAATTACATTTTTATTTATATTATTGATTCTTTACATTGCCATTTCCATGAGTAATTTCTCTGCCCTCTGCCTCATACATACTTTACCTTATATGTATTCCTAAAGGTGGCTCTGTATGTTGTAGGTGATAGAATCATGTAAAGTGGGTATGCGTAAACCAGACCCAAGGATCTATGAGATGTGTTTAGAAAAACTAGGAGTCAAAGCTGAAGAGTCTGTCTTCCTTGATGATATAGGATCTAATCTGATACCAGCGCAGAAAATGGGAATTCAAACCATTAAGGTATGGGAAAACTTCAAAACAAAATTAATCTATAGAGTGATAAATAATGTGCACTGTAGCAACAATATATAGAAATAACTCCAAATGGAAATGGTTTCGGTAATAATTAAATGTAGGTAAATAAAAATTGTCACCACTGTCTACAACTTTTTTTTGGATGGTGTTCAGCGATTGGTGTTTGGGATTGTGTAGTTGGTGTCTGTAACAAATGGCAAAAGGTGACATTTTGTAGGTCAAAGCCTTATTATGGTTGTCAATCATATATTAAGGTGATTAACGTGTTAACATTGTAGGTGTCTGGACCAGAACAAGCACTTGGGGAATTGGAAGCGATCCTAGGTTTCCCATTGAGGGGCTATGTAGATGGGACAATCGCTGTACCAAAGAGACTAGAATTAGAAGTAGATAAACTGAAAGAATATCTTAGGCAGGTCCTAGGAGCCAAATACAACACAACAAATTTCACAGGTGTGTATCAGAAATTTTTCCCAAGATACTCCTACTTTTTAGGGAGTGAGCGGCCAATCTGAAATATAATTACAAGAAACCTCTTCCAGAGACTTCAATGTCCAAATCCTTGATATGAGAACACTTACCTGAATCCAAACACTTTTGGCCAGTCTCAGGGCTGTTCAGATTAGACAGCTTTCAGTGTGTTTTGCTTATAATTTGCGGGCAAGTAACCAGTTTTTTTCAAGGTTTTTATTTTAAATTCCAGGGGGGGTTTGAATTTGATAATTTTGGCCCAAAATGACTTAAAAAGTGCTACAAATGGTGATTGATTTTTATGAACTTTTTGGCCAGGGCTTTGAGTTGCTTGAGTTGCTCAGTAGATTAGATCATCTTCCTTTCAGACGAAGCCAACATTAGATGTTATAAACATGGCCAATCTAATCCCACATACTTTGTTGGCTATGGAGGCAAGAGAATGGTGCTACGTAAAAAACCTGTAAGTAACTTTTAAAGAGCCATCAGGTTTAAAAACCAAAGTCAAAAACATAATTACCACAATTTATTTGTAATGTATTTGCCTAAATCCTTTCCCCATTAAGCAACATCTTTTTCAATATTCATAGCTAGGATTGAAAAGTGATTGCCATTGGCATTCAGGAAGCTGTGAGCTTTACACCTGAAGCCCACAGCCAGCTTTTGCGAAGGCTGGTTCAGTTTTTAAAAAATTTCAGGGGGTTCAAATTTGACAGTTTTGACCCAAAATCACTCGAAAAGTTCTCAGAATGGTGAAAAACTGTATGATATTGAAAGAATTTTAGTCCGAGGGGGTTCGCTTGAACTCCCTCCCCCCTCCCCCTTACAGGCCTGACCATGCTAATAATGTATCTGTTCTGTCTTGTACATTACAGCCAGGTAAGCTACTGCCCTCTGCCCATGCTGTAGAGAGGGAGTACAAGATAATGGATGCCCTAGGTTCACAAGGGGTCCCTGTTCCTACCATGATTGGTCTTTGTGAAGATAGTAGGTTAGTTGAAATAAGATACGTAATGCTCATTATTTTGAGAGATTCACATTAATTAGATATTTCAATATTACTTAGGGTTTCCTAAAAACCTTTTTTCTTGATATGCCCCATAAACAAAACTATTTCCACATTTCAGTGTGATCGGGACGCCATTCTACGTAATGGAGCATATGCCAGGACGTATATTCAAAGACCCACTTTTGCCAAACATGGAACCAAAAGAGCGCACCGCCATCTATAATGCCATGTGCGAGGTGTTAGCTAAAATTCACAAAGTTGACATCAGCAAGGCAGGACTTGATGACTATGGCAAAAAAGGTATTTTATGATATTTTATTGCACTTTTTATTACAAATGAGTGCTTCATTGTCGTCGTCATGTGCTGCTAGATGTGCAGGCAAGCATTTGGGTAGGCAGGCGGGTGCCACATCAATTTTGTCATAAAATTCCAGGACCCCCTGGACACAAATTCTTTCAAAATCAGCCACTTTTTAACAATTTTTGAGGTTCAGACTTGAACCCCTGAAATTTTCAAAACTAACGCCCGTGTAAAAAGCTGGCTATCAGACTGCTGTTAGGTCATGAAAGAAGTAAAGCTTTTTGTGGCAGAAGCACTGAGTTAATATTGTTTGTCTGTTTAAGGTGGCTATGTTGCCCGTAACTTCAAGAGATGGGCCAAGCAGTATGAAGCAAGTAAGACCCATGAAATACCTGCCATGGATAATCTAATGAAATGGATACCTGAAAACATGCCAAAGGATGAAATGATCACCATTGCCCATGGAGATTTCAGGTAGAACCCTCTCTCATCTCCCTCTAGCCCCCCTCATCTTGATAAAAAAAATTATGCCGACTCATTTAAGTTCAATTGTCACAAAGTGGTGTCTTAAAAGCTCCATTATTCTAAATTGACAGTCACTTTTATTGCGAAAAAATCTGGTTTTCAGCACTTCACCATGTGAACCCAGTACCCATGGTACTATTTCTTCTTCCAGGCTTGACAATCTGATATTTCACCCAACTGAACCCAAGGTCGTTGCCGTCCTTGATTGGGAGCTCTCCACTATAGGAGATCCGTTAACTGACCTCGCTACAAACTGCATGGCGTATTATTCACCACAATCTTTTGGGGCATTCCCAGGTAAGTAAAAATTAGTCATTGCTTATTGCGGAAATATAATTTTTGTTTAAATTTTAGGTTATTTTTGATGAATTATTTATTGATTTTAGATTGAATTGATTTTAAAATAAAGGATTTGGTTGGTGTAAATATATTTTGTGTGTTACCAAAATGCTTAAAGTAAACTTAATGCTGGTTCATCCACAAGAGTACCATACGGTACCATAGACTCATATAGTACAGTATGGTATGGTGAATATAATATGGTAAATATAATATGGTAAATGATAATCATTGGGGGCCCGGGCCCCCCCCCTTGGGTGGGCCCAGAAAAAAAAAGGCCTTAAGGCCCCAAAAAGTCGGCCTTTTTGGTCATTACTGGGCCTTTTAAGGCCTAATTTTTCAAATTCAGGCCAAATTTTGAAGAAAATGGGCCTCAAAATTTCAAAATTTGGGCCCACTTTTGCCTTTTAGGGGCCCAAAAAAATTTGGCCCCCCCCCTTGTTGGTTCCCAGATCCGCCCCTGTAGCAACATGTATTGTTTGAATTTAGATGTATATTTATGTGACAAAATGGATATAACAAACAAACCTGATTTCTTCATGATGGATGAATAAGTTCGAACTATTTTCAATTTATTTTTTCATTGAATTAAATATACATGGTGTTCTTAGTCTCTTTACACTTTTCAGACTTTGTATTGTAAAGTAAAGAGTCTTTTTTGACACCCTGTATGTTCCAGTTTTGGAAATGGAATTCAAAATATGCTCACACTGTTTAAATGAAATTCATTATGCATATGTGTATTTTGATGTTCTGAATTATATGAAACTTCAATTGCATACATTTTATATGATAATTCAGGAAATATTTCTATGCTTTGTTTTGAATAAAATATTGGCTTTAATGACATAGGAAAACAGAAATGGTTTATAAGTTAAATGAAGGATATTTATGGCATTTAGACCTCACCAAAGAGATTTATTATGGGCAGTGTGTACTCACACTTACACTACCCAAAATATGTTTTTTTTGGGTTGTGATTGAGAACATTTTTGTTATGCATTTAGACCTGTTTAATTATAGTCATGCCAAATCATAGCTGAATTAAAATGATTAAGTCTTATTGTTGCGTAGTATACATAAACATGCAAATATACACATTCATAACATCAATGAATTTGGCCAAGAAACATTTCCTAGGTTTATTTAACCCATACTGATAATTGTTACTGCTGATACATGATCTTAGGTATTTTTGTCCTTAAAATATTTGAAAAAATTCCATGCCAGAGGTTCGATTTGAATTCAAGTTAGACAATTCTGGCCCAAAATCAATTGAGAAGTGCTCAAAATGTTGGAAAACTGTATGATTTTGAAGAATATTTGGCCAGATAAAGTATATATTCATCTTTAAAAGATTTTATTCAGCTTTTCCTTGACCATATATCCATATGGTTTCTCTCCATTCACTTTGTATAGTGTGAGATTTTTCTCAAAAAAGATCTATTGTGTCATTAAATCAACAAATATTTAGTCAACATTGTAATTCACAAAATAACAAACTTTCTCCTCAAAGTTGAAGAGCAGGCTGTTGAACTGAAACCACAAGGCTTTCCTACTGTAGAAGAATACATAGCAACATACTGTCAACACATGGGGATCCCTACAATCCCTTTAAAGACGTGGTATTTCTATATCGCGTTCAATTTCTTCCGAACAGCTGCTATCGCACAGGGGGTGTACAAAAGGGCTATTTCCGGTATGTTGCTAAGGTTAAATGTTTTGGGTGTGAGGCTATACCAAAATTAAAGGTCAAGGTTATTGGAAAATTTGAATTTCTTCGTTTGAAAGTGTACAAAATCTATGCAATGGGTTATACATTTGAATGCCTGGCATTTTATTTGTAAAAAATATCACAATAATTTTCAAAATGATCCAACGTATTTTGACCATCAATTTTGGCATACTTTCAATCATACCCCCAAGCCTCTTAACCCCCTAGCTGCCCAGTTATATTCATGAACATTCATGAACATTTTCATATTCATGAACATTTTCATCCATCCAGATATGAGTGACAAAATCTTGATGAAATTAGGCATACCCACTCCAAGGCAATATCTGGACACATATTGCGATTACATGGGCCTTCCCCACTTAACTGACACTAGGTGGCGCTTCCAGTTAGTATTCCAGTTCTTTAGAAAAGCCGCCATATTGCAGGGTGTATATAAGCGTGCTCTTGATGGTACGTGTGGCACTTTTGAGATTTTGAGGAAATATTCACAAAAGTCACCCGCAATTAAAATCTGTGAAAATCACCCTAATTGGCAATCAAATAAAGTGGAATATAACAAACATACAAAAAGTCTCAAATGAAGACTTGTTTTATTATCATAGTTATAATTTCTTTATTCTTTGATAATGTGCCAGTTGTGTGTGAAAGTCACATGGAAGTTACACTCCCCTCCATAAGTTTGGCAACTGAGAGCATATCAAAGCCTACCAATGTTACAGGTAGTTAACAATAGTTTAGAAATTTATGACAATTTCAATGAATTTTTTCAAACCATCAAACATAAACATGCTTTGATAAGTGATTCAAATTGGGAATTCGGGTTACCAAACTAATGGAGGGGGTGTACTTGTATAACTGATACCTACACAAGGCTTGCTACATGCATTTTAGATAATTATAAGAATGGTCAGTAGAATCACATGTACAGTTCATGTATCAGCAGTTCAGGGATCATATCAAAACTTCAATTAGTTGGATGATAAATTACATGTACCATAATGAATCTCTCTACCTTATCTAGAAGAACACCTCTCTATGTAGAACACATTGTGAGTGAAATTTTTTGATTCAAAGATTCTTTGACCGATTGACTTCTAGGTTATGAATATTGGTTGGAAATACACACTTTATTTGTAAGACATTTTGTCTGCCATTGGCTGACTTCTTCAGTTACTCTTGTTTACCCCAAAACAGTGCTGCCATCTTTGAAACTATAAGCTAAAAATATATTTGATCTCATGTGCAACATTGAAGTTTTGAAGTGGTCCCATTGGGTATGTATAAACATACAATGTGATTATTGTATGTTGAGTAATTGTATGTTTAATTGTACTTCCTTTAAGCAGAAGCCTGTGTAAGTATAAGATGCATAACATCCACCCTCCCATCCGTACAAAGGCAATGGTAAAAAGTATTTGATACATGGAGAAATGTATTCTCCTTATAAAAAATGGCAAATTCTCCATTATGTGAAATGTGATTTACTGTTGGCCAAACATCAGTTCCCATGACCCCCACCCCCCTTCCGATGACCCCTCTCTAAAGCATCTGGGTTACAGCGTTACGAGGCATGGCCGGTATGGATCTCAAGCCGCTAGGAATACCAGATGGCGATGAATATACACGTAACTATTTTGGCCTGATGGGATATAAGGCAATACCGAGTATGAGCTTTTACAATGCCTACAATTGTTTCCGACTGGGGGCTATCATCCAAGGGGTCTTCAAAAGAGCGAAAAGTGGTAGGTGAAGCATGTATATAAGTGTTTTATTGATTCTGACTCGGGCCATCATCCAAGGAGTCTTCAAAAGAGTGAAAAGTGGTAGGTGATGCTTTGCATGTACATGTATATAACTAATGTTATATAACTATTGTTTGATATTTTGGTTCAGTCCCCGCTTGGTTGGACTGGCTTTTCGCACCTGCCCTTAGTACTTACATGTATTATATCAGGATTTCTTCTGTATATTTGTCATCGACATGTATATGTATGTACGAGGGGTGATCCAAAAGTCTTGGACGCCCTGCTCTATTTTTGTTGGTTTTTGTTAAAATTACTTTAAACTTTCCAATAATAAAGACCAACAACCTAACTACTTTGTGTATTAATTTCATGGAGAAATGATATATTTTATATAGTTTTCTAGATAGTTTTCAATACAGAGACCCTGCCACCCGGAACGGTATTCGCACATGGCAACTTTCAGCCTTAAATGTTACCGCCATTTCACTTGTTTCGCAAGTCTTGACCACTATATTTTTTGAATTTTGAATGTTAAACCATGTTAGTTTAATTCCTTTGTTAGTAGGCAACCAATTAATTGTGTTTTAATTATAATGTCACATATGACAATGGCCGCACATGTCAAATTCTAAGAAAATGCCATCAGACAAGCAACCCTCATTCTGGTATCATTTTTGCTGCAAGATGGCTCCTGAACTGCAGAACACGAAAGAAATCAAAGTGGAACAAAGAATACTACAAGATATTTTGACTATTATTGACCTTGAGCAGCTACCATATGCACGATACAGTCTATCTATGGCTGCATGTAATTTTCTTCCTTTTCTCCAAGTTGAAAGGATGGTTGAAAGAAAATGTTTTTTACTCATTGAATGAGGTTTATAGTAGCACTCCAGCAGCATTTGTATCACAAAAGCAATGACGGTTTCATAAATGTCTTCCATTCATTGGTAAAGTGGTTTGAAAAATGTGTTCAAATTCGTGGAAAATATGTTGAAAAGTATGTCTTAATATGTGAAGATGATGATGGGAGATGACACTCAGATTGAAAATCGAAAAGTCTCTCATATCATGGCTGGTGTTAGGTTGTGCACATGCACCTAAAGTATTTGCCATATTATAACAGTTGTGACGTGATTTGCTATATTTATATACCGTTCCGGGTGGCAGGGACCCGGTATTAAAAGATATGTAGAAAAGTAGCTAAAATATATTATTTTCTGTTGAAACTTATACATAAAGTTGTTAAGATGTTGATCTTTATTATCTGAAAGTTTCATGTAGTTATATTAAAGAATAGCAAAGTTAGAGCAGGGCGTCCAAGACTTTTGGATCACCCCTCGTATATGCTTCGGCTATTTGATAAATTCAATCTATTAATAGTGACAGTCTCCAACTTTTTCATGGATATTCAACATCTGGGGTTAGGAAGTCATTATTCCGAGTTTGGCATCTGTAACAAATGGCAGGGAGTGCATGGTAATGCCTTGTTATACATGTCTTGTGTGAATTGAACAAAACTTGTCAAAGAGCAATTTTAATGAGAAATTCTGTGACTGATATATCCATCACTCTGGGTATTCAAGGGGTTTGGTACTATAGATCATGTCTGAAGTGTTAAGTGTAGTTAAATATTAACTTAATAGTCCTACTTTTTGACATTGTACCACGTGAGTATAAAGTCCCAAGTTCACCTGACAATAACAGACATAGGAGAAAGGTAGGTTCAGTTTTGTCTGATTTTGCTATCCTAATGTTATCCTAGTTTTTTTAATTTTTGTCCTGCACTTTTGTCCTGCACTTTTGCCCTGCAGTTTATGTTTTGCAGTCCATCTTATTTAAAGTTCAATGGACAGTTTTTATTTCAAACTGCATTATACATTTAACTGCTCTTACATCTTTTTTGAAAGCGTTAAAAATAGTTTAATATATTCAGATTTTAGAAGTTTCAATAGCTAGTCTTGCATCCTGAACCCCCCCCCCCCCACACACACACACACCTCCTCCCTCTTGCTTGATGCAATAGTAGAAACCTGAGGCCCAGGAGGAATATGATTTAGAAATGTTTAAAATGTCTCCAAGTGCACTGAATTATTTATGTAGGGTACTTTTTATCTAGAAATCAAATTTAATTCAAATAGTTCATCATACAGTACTTTAAACAAATTAAACTAAAAATATGGACATTGATAAAATACAAGAAACTTGATTTTACAATGTTTAACTGCTGCATTCCGGGGCTGCCTCAGGTAGAAACTATCAAAAGAACACTAGCATTGATGTACATGTATTATGATTTATTGTGTTATATCAAGAGTTAGAGTGAATAATGTTTGTTAAAAAAGATAAGATAATGTGAATATCTTGAGATGTTCAATCGAACATTGGTTAAAATTTGCATGTAAAAATATTTTAACATACATGTACATGTATAGACATTGAGCAAATTGCTTTAAATTTTGTTTAAGCAAATATAAGCTTTCATATATTTTCAATTCTTCCAGTTCAAATACATATGTACATATACCTTGATTTTATGCAATCTGAGAGTGATTCAGCAAAAAAATTCAGCAAAAAAAAGTATTTTAAAACCTGTCTATCCGAAGACCTCTCTTATCTGAACACCTCTCATTGTGAACACTTTTTCTCAGCCCTTATTTTGTTATCTTTTATTGACTCACATATACAATGTATATCTATCTTGTGTGCTCATATGGGTAACAACAGGCATATAGAATTTCAATTCAGAACAAACTAAAAAATAGTACTAATCTCTTGTGTCACTGAAATGTTATTAATGGCCAAGCAGATATCAGAGATTGTAATGTGTTTCATTCATTTGCTACAAGACATCATGGGAAAAACTGAATGCTTTTGACTGGTACCACTGGTGTTCAGATTAGACAGGTTTTACTGTACATGAGCAGATAATTTTTTCTTTGTGCATTAATGGATGTTGTCAAATTATCAACAGTTGTAAAGAAACAAAGTTCATTTCTTTAGGGGAGGGGGTAAATGATGGTTTTGTCACCAAATAGTGTTGATTCAAGCTAAAAACAAATAAACATTTTAAAATTTCTTTTCATGAGGGGAGGGTGTCAGATCATAATGACATTAACCTGTTGATAATTGCAATTTGACGCCATCCCTAAATGCTTTCCTGAATTGTGTTCTAGGACAGGCCAGTTCTACAGACAGTGAACAAGTCGGGGCTCTCGCTGAGTTCATTGCTACTATAGGTTGGGACATAGCCTGTAAAGACACCAATAGCATAAATAGCAATAACAACAATAGCAATTACAACAATAGCAACAACAACAATTTAGATCACCCTAGCAACATGGCACAACAAGGTATGTGATAGCTTTTGAAATAAATTGTTGTACTTAATTCATTTATTTATTTTATTTATTTATTCATTTCTTTATTTTTATGTTTTTTCATTTATTTATCTGTATATTTATTCCTTTACTTGTTTATATATCTATATATTTGTTTATTTATTTATTCATTTATAAAGTGCCCTTGTACCCTATTTTATGTGAACAAATTTTTATTGATGTACACTAGTCATATGCCACAGCAAGCTTTAATACATTTTACAGTGAAATCTGTAAAGTGGAACACCTGTTAATGGAACACTTCAAAGTCCCAACTGACTTAATGTTAAATGACCTCTATAAGTGGAACACCTTCCAAGTGGAACACTTTTAACAGTTTAAGAGGTACCAAAGGTGTTCCACTTAGACAGGTTTTACTGTACTCAAAGTTTGGTTCAACTAGTGAAACCCACATTAAGTATAAACCTGTTGTTTAAGGCATGGCTACAACTGTCAAGGACTTATCCCCTCAGGCACAAGATATCTACAAACGTGTTGAAGCATTCATCGAGAAACACGTAGCTCCAGCTGAAGAACCTATAGGCAAACATGGCACCGCCCTGGTTTGGCCTGATAAATGGGATGTACACCCTCTAGTAGAAGAACTCAAGGTGAGAATATAAAGTTACCTCAGAGTGTTTTATGCAATGTACATGGACATTTATAATTGGGAAACATAGAGTTATGATCGAAGCCTACAAAGATTTTTATCACACTTTTTCAAGTGCTATATTGTCAGTGTCCGATGAGCGTGCGTTTGTGGCCGGTGCCATATAAATCTTGTCATCAAAATTCCAGGAAACTACAGATGCAAGAGAAAACTATATTGCTACCAATGTTTTTAACTTTGGCAGTCTATTTGTTGTATATTTGAATGTATTTAACAGGAATAAAGAACAAAAAAATATAGTACTATATATAGAGATTATCCTATATGAGGTTCAGGATATTGGGATTATCCCGAGGCCAATATAATATGTTTGCCCGAGGGCCGCAGGTCCCGAGGGAAAATATATTATATTGGCCAAGGGATAGTCCAAATATCCTGAACCGACTATAGGATAATATGTTTATCCCATACCAATCTTGGTCATCTTGTTCACATTGTTCAATCGTGGAAATATTCTAGAATATGCATGTCCAGTTTTGTTTTCTTGGCCGTGGGCGGATTTTCCTGTTCTCTCAAATACTCACACATTTATTTTCTCGAATCTTTGATTGATTAAGTGGATGATGCTCCTTTCATTGTTAAACCATCAAACAGATCCCGATTGTCTGTGTTTTCTCCATTATCGTTTACAGTCATTAGGCGAACGTTACAAATTATGAACAAATATGCGAGCGGCGATTATGACGTTGCGGGCAGATATACTATATCTGCCCGCTCGGAGCGGGACGTAAAGCTATATCTGCTCGCTGATGAAAATATAAGTTTTTACAAACCGGCTTTATGTACCTGTAACACGTCCAAGTATGGGATAAATAGAGATTATCCTATATGAGGTTCAGGATATTAGGATTATCCCGAGGCCAATATAATATATTTGCCCGAGGGCCGCAGGTCCCGAGGGAAAATATATTATATTGGCCAAGGGATAATCCCAATATCCTGAACCGAATTTAGGATAAATAGGGGTTATGCACTGGGAGGTTTTGGATACAGGGAATATCCCGAGGGATATACAATATATCTTCCCGAGGGACCGAAGGGACCAAGGGAAGATATATTCTATATCCCAAGGGATATTTCCTGTATCCAAACCGACCGTGCATAACTGTTGTATTCCATACCTGATGAGGTTTGAAATAATAAGCATGTATCCCATATGCTCGGTGTGTTTACTTGCAAAATATGTTATCATTTTTAAAAAAATCAATTTTTTCCAATTTTGAAAATTATTCCAAATTTTTTTTTCACATTTTTTCCCAACTTTTTTTTACATAATTTTTTCCACAATTTTTTTTCAAATTTTTATTTTCAAATTTTTTTTCCCGAATTTATTTTTTAAATATTTTTTTCAAATTTTTTTTGAGCGGGACATACGATTTATATGTCCCGGAGCTCCGCTGGAGCGGGACATACGAAAAATATTTGCCCGGATATGGAATATATTCCCGGTTGATATGTCCCTGAAACCTCATCAGGTATGGAATACTAATGTTTATCCCATACCAATCTTGGTCATCTGGTTCACAATGTTCAATCGTGGAAATATTTTAAAATATTCCTGTCCAGTTTTGTTTTCTTGGCCATGGGCGGATTTTCCCGTTCTCTCAAATATTCCCACATTTATTTTCTCGATTTTTTTGATCGATTAAGTGGATACTCCTTCCCTTTTTTAAACCATCAAACAGATTCCGATTGTCTGTGTTTTCTCCATTGTCGTTTACAGTCATTACGCGAACGTTACAATGAACAAATATGCGAGCGGCGATTATGACATAGCTCGGAGCGGGTTGTAAAGCTATATCTGCCCGCTGATGAAAATATAAGTTTTTACAAACCGGCTTTATGTACCTGTAACACGTCCAAGTATGGGATAAATATTTATCCCATACTTGGACGTGTTACAGGTACATAAAGCCGGTTTGTAAAAACTTATATTTTCATCAGCGGGCAGATATAGCTATACGTCCCGCTCCGAGCGGGCAGATATACTATATCTGCCCGCTACGTCATAATCGCCGCTCGCATATTTTTTCATAATTTGTAACGTTCGCGTAATGACTGTACACGACAATGGAGAAAACACAGACAATCGGGATCTGTTTGATAGTTTAAAAAATTGAAGGAGCATCCACCTAATCAATCAAAAATTCGAGAAAATAAATGTGGGAATATTTGAGGGAACAGGAGAACCCACCCACGGCCAAGAAAACAAAACTGGGCATGAATATTCTAAAATATTTCCACGATTGAACAATGTGAACCAGATGACCAAGATTGGTATGGGATAAACATATTATCCTATAGTCGGTTCAGGATATTGGGATTATCCCTTGGCCAATATAATGTATTTTCCCTCGGGACCTGCGGCCCTCGGGCAAATATATTATATTGGCCTCGGGATAATCCCAATATCCTGAACCTCATATAGGATAATCTCTATATATTATTATATATATTGTCAACATCTGATTAGGTTTTGGACATGCTGATTGAATTACATGGCAGCCATTTTGCTCATCAAAGTGCAATGATTATCTTTTTGTCTCTTACCTCACTAGATTATTAAAAAATAACATACCTCAAGAATACCCAATATTTCTTATTTGTCTGTTTGTTTGATTGCAGGCTAAAGCAAAGGCTGAGGGACTTTGGAATCTTTTCCTACCAGTGGAGACAGACAAGGGGCGATTTGGTGCTGGTCTCACCAACTTAGAATATGCCTTTGTCTGTGAACTTATGGGAAAGTACCCATTGTCATCCGAGGTAACTATTTGTGTATCCCATTTTACAGTAAAACTTGTAAAGTGGAACACCTTCAGGTCCATAGCCAGTTTTTAACAAAGGGGTCCAGTTTCTACAAACAATTCCAGAGGTGACAATTTTGAAAAAATGCTCAAAATGTTGAAAATCTGCATGATTTTGAGAGAATTTCTGGCCACCCATCCTGGCTACGGGCCTGACCTCTGTAAATGAAACACTTTTCTGTGTTCTAAGATGTGTTCCACTTGTGAGATGTTCCATTTATAGAGGTTCATGGTACCTTGTGTTCCACTTGCAGATTTCACTGTATCAATCAACTTTGGTTAAATGAGCCTGTATGGGTGTAAACTTAAGGTGTTGAAAGTTTCTTCTAAAAACACCATCAGTTGCCTATTCACATTCAGCTGTACTTTTAGGTGTTTAACTGTTCTGCCCCAGACACTGGGAATATGGAAGTATTGGCAAGATATGGCACACCTGAGCAGCAGAAACAATGGCTCACACCCCTACTAAATGGTGAAATAAGGTACATTTAATAAAGGATTTAAGCTCAGGGCTCAAGGAATTATGCATTAAGGTCTTATATGCAACTTTGAACAAAGGCAGAAGCCTCCCAAGGTTGGTCTATAGTAGCATATCTCAGGCATATCCCATGATTTCATAGTTACTAAACCTCTCATCCTGTGATTTCAGGTCATGTTTTAGAATGACAGAGCCCAATGTATTGAATCTTGTGATTTCAGGTCATGTTTTGGAATGACAGAGCCCAATGTTTTGAATCCTGTGATTTCAGGTCATGTTTTGGAATGACAGAGCCCAATGTATTGAATCTTGTGATTTCAGGTCATGTTTTGGAATGACAGAGCCCAATGTATTGAATCTTGTGATTTCAGGTCATGTTTTGGAATGACAGAGCCCAATGTATTGAATCTTGTGATTTCAGGTCATGTTTTGGAATGACAGAGCCCAATGTTGCCTCATCTGATGCTACAAACATTGAGGCTTCAATAAAGAATGTGGGAGATGGTTACCTCATCAATGGGCACAAATGGTGGACTTCAGGTAAGCATTTACTAGCTCAGGTGTGCATAAGGGTTATGTACTGGGAGGTTTTGGATATAGAGTTTATCCCGAGGAAATTATGTGTATCTCCAAAAAACCACAGGACCAGAATTGATACAGCAAAGATAGCAGGATAGATACAGAAATATCCATCTAGCTCCCTAGAAACATTCCATATGCCCACATGTTATGCACCTAGAACTCCAGTAGGTAAATGTACATGTGATACAATCAAAATAAATGTTTCTTTCAAGGTGCCATGTACCTGAGATGTAATGTGTGTATATTTATGAGAAAGATAGACTCTGGAGCTGCCAAGCACAGACAACAAAGTATGATTATTGTCTCTATGTATTCTAGGTGCTATGGACCCAAGATGTAAAGTGTGTATATTTATGGGAAAGACGGACACTGGAGCTGCCAAGCACAGACAACAGAGTATGATAATTGTCTCTATGTATTCTAGGTGCTATGGACCCAAGATGTAAAGTGCGTATATTAATGGGAAAGACGGACACTGGAGCTGCCAAGCACAGACAACAGAGTATGATAATTGTCTCTATGTATTCTAGGTGCTATGGACCCAAGATGTAAAGTGCGTATATTAATGGGAAAGACGGACACTGGAGCTGCCAAGCACAGACAACAGAGTATGATAATTGTCTCTATGTATTCTAGGTGCTATGGACCCAAGTGTAAAGTGTGTATATTAATGGGAAAGACGGACACTGGAGCTGCCAAGCACAGACAACAGAGTATGATAATTGTCTCTATGTATTCTAGGTGCTATGGACCCAAGATGTAAAGTGCGTATATTAATGGGAAAGACGGACACTGGAGCTGCCAAGCACAGACAACAGAGTATGATAACTGTCTCTATGTACTCTAGGTGCTATGGACCCAAGATGTAAAGTATGTATATTTATGAGAAAGACTGACACTGGAGCTGCTAAGCACAGACAACAGAGTATGATTATTGTCTCTATGTATTCTAGGTGCTATGGACCCAAGATGTAAAGTGTGTATATTTATGGGAAAGAGAGACACTGGAGCTGCCAAGCACAGACAACAGAGTGTGGTAATTGCCTCTATGTATTCTAGGTGCAATGGACCCAAGATGTAAAGTGTGTATATTAATGGGAAAGACGGACACTGGAGCTGCCAAGCACAGACAACAGAGTATGATTATTGTCTCTATGTATTCTAGGTGCTATGGACCCAAGATGTAAAGTGTGTATATTTATGGGAAAGACGGACACTGGAGCTGCCAAGCACAGACAACAGAGTATGATAATTGTCTCTATGTATTCTAGGTGCTATGGACCCAAGATGTAAAGTGTGTATATTTATGGGAAAGACGGACACTGGAGCTGCCAAGCACAGACAGCAGTGTATGATAATTGTCTCTATGTATTCTAGGTGCTATGGACCCAAGATGTAAAGTGTGTATATTTATGGGAAAGACAGACACTGGAGCTGCCAAGCACAGACAACAGAGTATGATAATTGTCCCTATGGATGCCCCTGGTGTGAAGATAATTCGCCCATTGACAGTTTTCGGCTACCATGATGGACCACATGGACATGCTGAGGTGATCTTTGAAAATGTAAAGGTAAGAATACAATAAGTATACCACCCTATGCAGACAGAGCCTGTGGGAAATATTGGGTGCGGCGCAAATGAGCGGAGGGTGTGGAGCTAACGGTCATTTTTGAATTTAAATTTGGGATATTTCTGAAACTAAGCCGTTTTGGCACTTCAAATATACCAAGATATGTGTATTTGACACCAAATATCAATACAATTGTGAAAATAGTAGCGCAATTCATTCTATAGCGACGCAGTGTGCCTTAAACCTTTCCCAGACCTATATATTTTGAAATTATCCTTTTAATACTGAGTCCCCAGCATTCATAAAAAATGGTGTTCAAGGTGCACTATCTATACAAATTATTTGAGTTTTGACATAGATCAAATATGACTGAGGCATTAGTCTTAAGATTCATCACATTGCTAGATGTGCTCAAAGAATATGACTGTCCCTTTTTGTAGCACTTTGTTCTTAATAACGTGAAGCATCATGAATTATGAATTAAATATGAGGATGACCAAAATGGATAATATGAGATGCATAACATCTGAATTATACAGTACAGTTTTCACCACAGGATTTTTCTTAAGTGGTTGCAGAATTCTCATCTTCACAATTAGGACCGAAATTGGTAAAAATATGCCCTTTTTTCATGATTTTCTCATTTTCAAGTGGGTGGAAATGAATGTTCGGATGGGTGCTGCACCCACTTGCTTTAATGCTGAGGAGATCACTGGTATAACATATAAACGTAAAACTGTACCTAATTTTAATTGAACATATTAAATCTAATATTAACATTTAGGTTCCCCTGGGAAATATGCTACTCGGAGAAGGCAGAGGATTTGAAATTGCTCAAGGAAGGCTAGGACCGGGGCGAATACATCACTGCATGAGATTGATTGGAAATGCAGAAAGGGCCCTTGAACTAATGTGCAATAGGGTAGGTTTCTCTTGTACGATATATTTTTCAGTTAATCCTTCTTAATGTCCTTGATCCTTCCTAGGAAAATAAAATATCAAAAGGTGTGTATAGTTGGTTAGATGGCTGAAGCTTTTATGCATCGCCATTTCAAAATTGGCAATTCGTTGATCCCATCATTTGCTTGGACAGATTTACCCACAACCTGTTCCATCGTTAATCTTTCTTAAATACAACTTTTATATACCTACATGTAACATAATATAAGTGTTTTCTTTTATATGTAGTCTAACATAATATAAGTGTTTTCTTTTATATGTAGTCTAGATGTAATTTTAATAATTTCTGTTAAACTGCAACATATACCCACTAGGGTGTCTAGCAGCATGTTTTTATAGTGTATATTATAGAAGAATTATGAAATAAATAAATTGAATTGAATTGAAAATTGAATTGAAATGTTTCATAAGGTCACAAGGTTTATCGAAAAGGTCAGTATCTCGTATATTCAATGTCATCTCTGTTAATTCTGACAATAGGGGTCTTAATCTCAAATGAGGTTTTGATAAAATACTAAAATACCTTAATCAAATTTTTTTTTTTTATTTATTGTAAATGTGAAAATCAGAAAATCCATGGTACAAGTGTATCACCAGTAATTTTTGTTGCAATTATCAGACAGTAATAATGATTGATTATGTCAATTTATTTTTAAAGCTACATTGGGTTGATTTTTAACTCAACTTTTAAAAGCTCCATTTAAATTGATTAATTCTGATTGCAACTTGCTCAAGCTGAATTTAAAGGGTTGCGATAAGCTTCCCGTATAAAATGAAAATCTCCCTTTTATAAATGTGTGACAATCTATACTGTGCCAATGTTATATAAAAGTTAGAGGTGTTGACACAACGACCTCAAGCCTTTGAACCCTTGAGTATTATTCCGGGATCGAGCCTTTTATACTAAATGGTGAGCAACACCAGAAACGAGCATTCGATTTGCTAAACGATATGCGTCACCCTTTAAGTTGCTTGAAATTTGGAGCTCAACTTCTGAAAGCTATATTTGAATTAAGGTTTGATTTGAGATCGACTTCTGAAAGCTACATTGGAATAGGTTGAATTTTGAGTTTAACTTCTTTAAAAGAATAAAGTGAATTGCTATCAACCCCTGGAAGATCAGTAGGCCAAAAGTACCAAGATATACAATAATGTGCGTTTGGACATTTAGGACCATTTGGATATTCACCAAATATGGAAGCAACTGCCCCACTACAACCGTCTCCAAACCAATAAGGACCATCGTTATCAGAATCGTTCGTAGAGAACTGATCACCATTACTTGCTCTCATTGAATCACCTGCTGTACCATTATAGCCATCAATATTCAACCGGTATTTGTCTTTCTCATCATTAATGTCAAATGTCGTATATTCAGCGTATCGTGTCTCATTCTCCCATGTTGTCAACTCAAACCTGGCCTTGAACTTCTTCTGTTGTAACACAGCCACAATATTGTCCATTCCTTTGAAGTGTCCTCCTTTGAGAAAACCAAAGCCATGTTTGTATAAGATCCATTCAACGTTGAAATCAACACTTCCGTCGAAGCGATGTGCGAGAATAAGCCAACCAGCTTCACACCTTGCAAGAAACTGTTTACCATTTTTGGGAGTTATTGTATGAATACCATCAGGTAGCCGAAAGCAGTCTTCGGCTCCAGTAAAAGGGGCATTGTTAGGTGCTTCTGGAACAAAAACAATACTGGAAAACATGTACATGTATATCCGAATACCCGATGCTACGATCACAGGGCTCCAAGATCAAGATGGATTAAGTCTTTGGGGTACAGAAAACGTTTGTGCCAAGCCCTGCGGGGTGTATTCGAAAATAGTAGCCCTATTCTGAGGTCTATATTTCTTAATTATGCATTGCACCGTGTTTTGTACACAAGTTTTATTTTCTCTTAACACATATTATTTTTATATTTGCAGGTGAAAGACCGTATAGCATTTGGTAAACCTATAGGAGCCCAGGGAACTATACAGGCTGATATTGCCCAGAGTCGTATTGAGATTGAGCAGACAAGGCTATTGGTTTTGAAAGCTGCTCATATGATGGACACAGTTGGGAACAAGGTACAATTTTTGAACTCCCATATATTTTAGTTTGATTTTTATATTTAAGATAGATAAAGATAACATTTCAGAGAAAATGATGTAAAATGTGAATTAATTTTTGTTAAAATGCATTTAAATTGGTGTATTTTTCCACGCCGACAAAGCAAATTACACAATTTGTTGTTTCCATGATTTTCTTTATGGCAAATGGAAAAGCATTGTGAATGAAACTCATTTTATTAAGTTAAAAAATCAAATTTTGAATAATTGTTTTTTGATAGGTGGCAGCACCTGAGATTGCGATGATTAAAGTGGCAGCACCAAATATGGCAGCACGCGTGATAGACAGAGCAATTCAGGTGTGTATAGTAGACTAATAACTAATGAATAGCATACCAGCAGGTCATATGCAAATTTATTCATAGGCCTTAATTGAAAGACTCAAAATGTTGCAAGAATCCACTTCCAATTTGCAATAATGATACAGCTCAATCTGTCAATAGGGAGTTTAAGCTTACATATAAAATTGAAATGCCAAGCTATACGTATGATGAATCGCCCATACAAATGCATTGGTTAAATATTTTCCGTTCATGTTAAGGTTGTGAAAAACATTGTAAGCTTAAACTCCCTAGTATTGTGCAGATTGCATACATAATCTCTCAAATGGAATGTTCGTGCTTATTGAACTTTTGTTAAGACCAGCATATAAGTTATTTAAAGGTATTATATATGTGAAAATCTTCTATATTCTTTATACATTTCTTTGATTTGTTTGTACTCGTATATGTACCATATAATATGTCCTCATAACTGCATGTATTTACTATTTGTACTGTATGTCATATGATATGATATTTGCTTTTTAATAATATGTAATGTATAATAATATATGAATGGGTTTTGCTTTGTATCTCTTTTGCTTCAAATGTTTTAGGTTTTAGTTAGGTACTTCTAGTGATAAATATGAGAATACATTGATTATATGTTTTCGTAATTATCATAGAGTAAAGTTTTATGATGGATAATTATTGAACCTCAAAGCTCTGGATTATTGAGGTATAAACTACAGAGGTAGAATTTCAGTCAAAGGTTGAATTTTGCATACAGGTTTATAAAAGATCTAACAGCCATTTGGATATTTCATCAAGAGTTTGAAGAATGAACTAAAGAAGATTATCGAAGATAGTTTGGATGAATGTCCAAACAATCGAAATGAGTTAAGAAGGATTCATTGCAGTTAAATCGCATCTCACTTAGTGATGTATTTGGATTTTTGAAGCATTCTTTGAGATTCGCATTTAAGGAACGTGATGACTGCATTAAAATAAAGACATTTACTATCGCACTTTGAAAAAATGCTACATTTGCTTTTGCTGCTGTGCGTGCGTCTGAATGGGTGGCATATGAATTTTGTCGTCAGAATTCCAGGAAAAACGCTTATCCGTTCAACTTGACATTTCTACAGTTGCAAGAGTAGACTAGCTTCAGTATCTGATTAGGCTTTGGGCATTCTGGGTAAATTACATGGTGGTATTCAAAGTGCGATATTTATCACCTTGTGTCTTGTTTTTATTTTCAAGGCATTTGGCGGAGCGGGTGTCAACTCAGATGTTGTATTGGCTCATCTGTTCGCCAATGTTCGAACGCTACGCATTGCTGACGGTCCCGATGAAGTCCACGCTCGGAAAATCGCTCAATATGAAAGCAGGAAATATGCAATTTCCAAGCTTTAGAATTGGATGCATATAGAAAATTCTGGATTTTATATTTGTGATGGATATTAACATTTTCCAAGGCTCAATTTAGTTTTGGAAAATCACAAACTATACACGTTTTCACCCATGCTGCCATATAGTCTCTCTTGATCGAAATGACAATAAACAGAAATTAAGATGACGTAATTTATTTTTAAAGGCATTTGGAGGTGCTGGTGTGAGCTCAGATGTTGTGTTAGCAAAGTTCTACACAAAGGTGCGAACGCTACGTTTAGCTGATGGCCCAGATGAGGTTCACAAACGGAAAATTGCTCAACACGAGAGCAGAAAATATGCAATTTCTAAGCTTTAATTACGGATGAGCATTATACTAATTGAAGGATCAATTGAATGTGATTCTACATGTAGATGAATATGATTACCAATCCATTGATCATATATTTATGAAGGGCTTTTACTCACATAAAATTGCTCAATCCGAGAGCAGAAAATAGCAATATTTAAGCTATGATTTTGGAATTGGATGAGGTATGTAATGACTAGACCAGTTTAAGGATTATTGGAATATCATTCAAGAAGAATTTGAAATTCAAACCATGGAACATATATTAACAAAAAGCTTCGCTAACATTAAATTGCTCAAAATTTAACGAGAGCAGAAAATATGCCACAGCTAAGCTGTGATTTTAGATGAGTACCATACCAATTCAAAGATTTATGGAATGTCATCAGGCCTGTAGCCAGGGGGGTTTGATGGTTTCGAGCGAACCCCCCTGGACAAAAAATCTTTCAAAATCTTGCAGCTTTCACCATTCTGAGCACCTTTTAAGTGATTTTGGCCATTTTTGGACCAAAATTGTCACGAGTAAACTCCCCCTGAAATTTTTCAAATAGTGAACCCCCCTCGGCAAATCCTGGCTACGGGCCAGGTCATTCTAGATGAATATGATTACCAAGCCATGGACCTTATATTTATGGAGAGCTTTGGTAACATAAAATTTACTCAACATGAGAGCCGAAAATATGCAATTTATGAAAGCTGTGATTTTGGATGAGCATGATACCAATTTATGGATCAATAGAAATATGCCAAATGTTTCTAGATAAATATAAGTCATCGCAACATGCAGTACTTCGAGAAAGAAAAATAGCTGACTGAGGAATTAAGTTGTATGTATGGTATTCAGAACTAAGTTGAAGGCATCCATTTTTTAAATGATGAACTAGAAAAATTGATCAAGTTCAATGGAAAATTATCTTTGTTGTTATGATATTGTAATTATGGACTACAGTATTATTTGTTAAGGATCTTATGATAAATATAATTTATTTTTGCTAAATTGTATATAAATAAATTAATAAAAAATAAACAAAGTAATGCACAAAGTAATGAATAGTTTTGTCTTAGTTGTTTTTGTATCTTAACCCCATTAACCATTGAAGTTTAAAAATGTCCTTTATATTAGCATGGGCTTTCAACTAGAAGGTAGATTAGATATGTGGGAGACATATGAAATCAATCTTGTAGATTATTCCAGGGTACTGTTCACCCCCTGTCCATCAGTTTGACAAGAAGTCCTCAATAATGAGGTGGGAGGTGATTTATGTTTGAATCTTAATTTTCTTCCCCAATTACAAAATTTTATGAATTGATTTTATGAATTTGTCGAGGTAGGTATATGGGCGCCTGAACACGATGTTGCGAGTTCGAAATCAGTGTGCTCCTTTGTGTTGTTGTTGTACTTTTTAAAGCCTAGTTGTATGAATGATTTATAGAGTTCTGTTATTTTTGTAAGGAGTCATTAGTCATAATGGTCCCCGGTATCAACAAATATCAATGATATTACGGGGCAACAATCTGGAATGGCTGCCCCAAATAATGTACAATTTTGACCAAGTTGGAGGGATTATACATGTATGCTCACACCTGAGTGAGCTTTGGTCACCACCCATGTTTTTGTAATGTACCATTGTATGTGACAACAATTTGTTGCTATGTCACCACCAGAAGTAGTGTCATATTGTCCAGAAGTGGTGACATATTGTTAGTCTCCAACTTTTTTGTGGCCACTGTTTCGTGGCTGGTGTTTGGCATCTGTAACAGTGTTCAGCAGTCGGCATCTGTAACAGATGCCAGATGGTTTGTCGTTGTAAATTTTGCAAATACAGTTCCAGTATTTTTTGTTTTCCAGTCATTTGGAGGAATGGGGGTATGTCAGGATACACCACTGGCACCGATGTATGCAGGAGTCCGCTGCCTACGTATCGCAGATGGCCCCGATGAGGTCCACCGCAGAATGGTTGCCAGGATTGAGTTCTACAGACAATACAAGAAACAACAGGCCAAACTTTAGTCATGACAAGAAACAACTGAACAAACTTAAGTCATGACAAGAAACTGTAGGCCAAACTTTAGTCATGAGAAGTAACAACAGTCCAAACTTTAGTCATGAGAAGTAATATCAGTCCAAACTTTAGTCATGACAAAAAACAATAGGCCAAACTTTAGTCATAACAATAAACAATAGGCCAAAATTTAGTTATGACAAGAAACAACTGAACAAACATTTATCAGCTTCATTATTTACTAATAGAACCTATTATAGTTCAAGTATGGCATATTATTCATTCAAATATAGTTAATGTTTTTCTCTAACATATAAGCTCATTCCGTAAATGAGGTTTTGAGAGACTGAAAAACAGAAAATCCCCAGATGATTTTAAAACTGTAAATATTTAGTTTTAACAATACTGAGAAATCTGCATATATTGAAGAGTTCATGTTGATTGGTGTTCCTTACAGAGGGGGTCACTTAACATGTAAGTCAATGGGACTTAGTTGTTTTGAAAAATTTCCATATTAGAAGGAACCCTTTTACAGAGAGGTGTCAATCTGACAGGTTTTACTGTGCTACAAAGAATTCTATTAGTTTGAAGACATATAACAAGTGAAACTGGGGGTCATTAACAGAAACTTAGTAAAGTTATGAATTCGTAAATTAATTGTTGTAACCATGGATATAATGACGTCACAGTTAGAGAACAATGGGTTTTATGAATTCTTAACTTCATGAAGTTTCTGTTAATGGCCCCCTGATTACTTGAAATTGGAAGATGTCATAAGAACTGAAAAATTGATGAATATAAGAGCATTTCACCTGATGCTTGCTTAGAGCATGCATGCAGAATGCAAAAATACATCATTCCATAATAAATGTGAACATTAAATGTATTTTTAAATTGCATATTATGAGTACTATGTCCGAGACACCAATGAGTTGAGGTGTATGTTGCAGTAATTGTAAACCTCATTATTTTAGAATTGATACCCTGCGATGATGGTGATCCTGAAATCGCACTAGTTCACAGAAAAAATAGGATAAAATCGGTCTTGCTTATAAGTATTATGAATACTATGAAAGTTATACATTGTTAATTGCTCAATTATTAATATCTGTTTTTTTTTGTTATTGTATTTCATTTATTTTATCCTTAAAAAATTATACTGTTGATAATGTAGATATTTCATGATTTTATGGAGTTTTTGTTATTTTATTATATCTTTTTACTATAATTTTAAATAAACTTGGATGCAGCTTTTTTGTACAGTATTGTATACATTATGTAAGTGTATGTAGAGTGCCATTCTTATGAAAAGCATATATCCAAATAAATAAATATTATGCAAATTAAGTTAAAAATACCTCTATGGGGTTACAATGAGTTTGTTGACAGTTAAAAAGAGAGAAGCACGGTGTAAGTGATTTGGAGAATAAGAGAACTAGAAGGGATACCATTTGAGAAAGAGAGATATACCAGGTCGTTCAATAAGTTCACGGAAAAACGCTCTCATTTCAAGGATTTTTGATATTTTCTCATGAAATTTTCACACAATGTATAAAAAATACTTTCTGATTGATTCTGAAAATATCAGCATCTCTTATTTGATTGGTCAAAAATAAGGGTTACTATGGTAACTTGACTTTTGGGTAGGCGGGGCACTTTTTATGTCACATTATTCATTAGAAAAACAACAGAATGGTAGGCAATTTATGAGTATATCACATGAATTTCTTCTCCGCTTTCTACTTGTACATGATATTACTTAATGTACATGTAATAATAGTAGCAACTATTGTCCCATAAGGTTTTAGAAATATTCTCCCTCATGTTTAGTGCACAGTAGGTTGCATTCAAGCCATTGACGAGACAGTGCTCTGAAGTCATCTCGAAAACTTGTTTGAAGGGCAATCTGGACTGCAGTCGAAAGTAGCTTCATTGTTTCATAATAATAGTAATCTACTAGAAATCAATAGCATTATGATGTCTACTGTATCCTAAAAAGTTCAGATCTAGGAAACATGTTGCATAGCTAGAAAACATGTTGCATAACTGGGGAACATGTTGCATAGCTCTAGAACATGTTGCATAACTGGGAAACATGTTGCATAGCTTGAGAATGGGCAGCTGCATAGCTCAAGAACATGTTGCATAACTGGAGAACATGTCGCATAGCTCAAGAACATGTTGCATAACTGGGAAACACGTTGCATAGCTAGAAAACATGTTGCATAACTGGGAAACATGTCACATAGCTCGAGAACATATTGCATAACTGGGAAACATGTTGCATAACTGGAAAATATGTTGCATAGCTCGAGATCATGTTGCATAACTGGGAAACATGTTGCATAGTAGAAAACATGCCAGATGATGAGAAAGCATGCAGTATGGTTTGAAAACAGCATCACTGAAACATGCTGCATAGCTTGAGAACATGTTGCATAACTGGAAAACATTAGTTTAATTTGAAAATGTGTAATACAAGTTGTATAATAAGAAAACTTAAAACTGAAAAATAGATTACATCAGGAAACATGTTGCATAGCATAAAAATATGTTCCACAAGTCTAAAACATATTGCATAGCTTAGAAACAAGTGCAAAACTGAAAAGCATGCTACATAGTTGGACACCATGCCAGATAGCAGAAAAGCATGCTGCATGACTAATTGAAATGATAATTTGACAATATGCTGTTTGTAGAATAGAAGATATATTGGCGAATGGAAAACAAAAGATGAAAACAGTGCATAACTGAGAAACATGTTGCATAACTTAAAAATGCAACATTTCTGCATGTCTTGGGAGTATGTTGCATGACCTGAAAATATGTTTGACATAAGAACTATTGAACTTTTTTTAAAACAGGCATGGCATGGAATGATGAGAACTCAAAATATTTTGAAAATGTGACAGTTTAATTCACTGGTTATATTTGTATCTATGTATGATTCCAGAGTGTAGTGTGCCAACGTTTCTCACTCTGGTCTATAGATGTCTATGTCTGGCCTACAATTATGTATTAATCCATTCATTTGTTACATTCATGTATGATTCCAGGTACACCATATGGTTTGAGTAAGTCAAGACTCTCCTCAGATGAATCTCTCTGTTTGGGCAAAAATTCTACACTATTTATTCATTTTTACATAAATGTATGATTCCAAACCCATATTAGGGACTTTGAGTAGGCCAAGACTTTCCTCTGGCCAATCTCTGTCTTGGCTAAAGTTTTATATTTTAAATTAATTTTCATATCCATGTATGATTCCAGGCTTGTGGGGTGATTAGAGCATGCCAAGACTTTCCTATTGTCAAGTTTTATTTCTGAACTAAAATTCTATATTTCTTAATTCATGTGTTATGTATGGTTCCAGGCATATGGGGGCGCTGGTGTGTGCCAAGACTTTCCCTTGGCAGCTCTGTACAGCTGGGCCAGGATTCTACGAATAGCTGACGGTCCTGATGAGGTCCACACAAGGGCAGTTGCCAGATTTGAGTATGTGAAATACCTAAAACCTGGTGCTAAACTTTGAGAACATTGGAGTTGGTGATTTGGGAGAAGAATTGCAGTATCCCATCTTGTGTGTGATTGGGTCTCCATTGACTGGTTTTAGCACCCTGGTGAATAGCATGAAAGACTGTCTATAGATGGTAAAGAACACAGATGAAATGTATACTTTAATACAGTTTAGAAATTTGCTTCAAAATAACCCAAAATTAGGTTAAATGAAAATCAAATACCTAATACTAGTAATTTGATTCATGAAGTGTAGTTGATGTTTGAAACAGCAATATTTACATATAAACCAATGGAACGAATGTGCTGAACCGCAGACAGCCCACTAGAGAAAATAAGTGAATTGCCATCTACACAAGTCCAGCTTCCATTCCAAAATATTTTATCATAACTACAATTTTACCAATTACTGGGTAATATTCAATTTGCATATTCCTTGAAATACCTGTGAATGAAACTGTAAACTGGCACCAAAGCACCTAGTACAGATGGCTATAGATAGATATTTAAATTGGACTTAATTTTGTGAAGAATATGTCCCGTAGTGTAACGACCCTTGGTGATAACAAGTTGCTACTACGGCCCAACTGAAGTGGCTTAAGCCTTTATAGCTCAGTTGGTAGAGCATCAGTCTTTTGATCCAAGGATTCCAGGTTCGATTCCCACATGGGGCGTTGAATTCAGCACACTTTCTCTCAAGTTCTCTATCTGGCCTGTTACACTCACTTGTAGGTATTAGTCATTCCACTGGGGCGCCCTCGGGTCATTACACTAGTGATATGTGATAAGGGGAAGGGATGATAATGAATTAGGGTTCGCAAAGCTGATCAGTCTCTGATTGCTTTTTTACCACAATTGTATAAATAGAAAATAATTTAATGATTATAATAATTTACACTTAAATTGTATAATAAATATATTTTTATATGATTCAACCCATTTCGTGTTATAGTTTTTCTCATACTAACGGATGTATCACAGATTATTTTCAATCATTGGTTTCATGGAAAGCACAATATATTCGAACATCTCTCTAGACCAAACCCGGGTATAAAAGGCAGATTGGACGGCCCACAACAGCCAAATATGGCAGTTTAAATGTCCAGTTCAAACAGAATGAATTTTTTTCAAACTTTCTGCTATAGCAAGATTATTATGATGAATTACAAGCTCTTTTTGTTACAGTTGCTCATGAATCTATTATGACTATAAATTACAAAGAATTTTATATATATGGTAAAAAGTGGTAAGAGCCGTCTGAAAGTCATGTCTTAGAACGGGTTGGGCATCACCATATTTTTTTCATTATTATTCAATAGAAGAGCATCTCGCGCTCAATTTTTCAACTTTTTGGAACCTCGGTATTTTTTGTTATCTGAAATTTTGCCCTTCAATCTTATCTGTGAGGGTACTTGAAACATGATAACATATTCAACATTTGATAGCCAAAAATGTTATGATTTTAAATATAAACAGACAGACGCTTTTAAAGGACATATATATTTTACAGTTACGATACATTTATTTATTTATTTACATTATGACAGTTTTATTCTACAATATCTACAAAGTGAATCTCATAATAAAATTTAAATGTATGGCGTACATGTACAATAAATATTTTAAATTAATATGTAAAATGAATTTCTCGCATCTTGTATTCGTGGCATCAGCCATCTCATGCATTACTTGAATCACTGGCGGATTTAAAAAAATGGTCTTCATTTGGAGAAAAAGGCAGGGTGAAAATACCTCAAATTTTCCAAATCTGATTCACACTTTCAAAAACACAATGGCACCCTTCAACGTGACAAAATGGATGATGTTTTAACAAAATATTTCAGATATGACAATAGAATTCTAATGTATCTAAAATACTAAATATTATGTACAAATCTAAATATATTCCATTGTGTTTTATAGATGTCTCTCTCAAATGTTCTCTGCTGAAATTTTATTGATACTGCGCTCTAAATCATATTCGAGCTACTAGCCCGTGTGACTCCCCCCACTACAACCTATGGTGTTTGTGAAGTTGATAGGGTGGTGTCCACAAAACTTCTTAAACCTGAGGCCCGGAAATAAGTAATAAAATGTACAGAGTTGTCTATGTGTAATATATTGTGCGTATTTGATTGTATTAGTTTAATTTTAAAAACGTATCTTATCTCAAACAATTTTCAAATATTCCTTTAATATATAAGACGTAAATAAAGTTGAAACCAATGGATTTTAGCGCAATATTTTACTACTGCATTCCCAGGCCTCATTGAATAATGTTTGGAAAATTATTTTACTTTGAAATTCAAATCGGACTGAAATCATGCACCCTTCGTTCATGTATGTATTAATTTATCAAACCCTACATGGCAATTATCTGCCATGATTCCATCTTATACAGTTGCAAATCTTATCCTATGTGAAATTAAATAAAACTGGTTCAGATCTAGTAACTCTTGAGAAAGGGTTCGACCAGGTAATCAGAGCAGTGGAACATCCACTTAACATAGAATATATTTTAAAGGATCTTCCTATTATTTTTCGATGATTCTTCAATAATTCGACAGCTAATTCGAGAATTCGACAGCTTATTCGAGAATTCCAGCTAATTCGAGAATTCGACAGGTGATTCGAGAGTTCGATGGCTAATTCGAGAATTCGACAGATAATTCGCGAGTTCCATATCTAATTCGGGAATTCGACAGCTAATTCGAGAATTCGATAGCTAAAGCGAGAGTTCGACAGCTAATTCGAGAATTCGACAGCTAATTCGAGAGTTCGATAGCTAATTCGAGAATTCGACAGCTAATTCGAGAATTCCAGCGAATTCGAGAATTCGACAGCTTAGTCGAGAATTCGACAGCTTATTCGAGATTTCGACAGCTTATTCGAGAGTTCGACAGCTAATTCGAGAATTTGACATAAGAGGAGAAAGCAGCCCAGAATGAACCTCAAGATGTTCACCTTTATATTGAGACAGGTTCATCTTAGAATTCTGGATTATTTCCCCTCTGGCTAATGACGAGAATTCTATTCAGCCAGTACAGTAAAATGTACCATTCTTTTCAACTTAGAAACATCAAAAGAACTTTTGCCAATGATGGAACCCCGGTACAGGGAGATGTACCATTCTCTTGAAAATGTCAAACGAACTACGTACATGTATTTATTGAATGTCAAATGTACTTGGTGATAACAACGTAGTTCCAAGTCATTTTTGAACGTTCTAGATAACTTCCCATCGCCATTGGAATGTTATCCTATTTTCTGCTACGATAGAACGTTACCACATATTGGTAAAACATTAAACATAGTATATTTAAAGATTCATCCTTCTTAATCTGCACGTCTGTTGGAATAGCATGGTGCTGCTTGGAATTGAGGTTACTAGTATTTATTTTCACAAGACTTTTCTGACTTTCTACAATCAAGTCAACGTTGATTGGACGTCGTATACGTCATTTAGGCCTTCAAATTGAAACGTCAAACATTCAGTTAGTAATTATTAATGGGTGTAACGTAATCAGAGACAACGCACTGATAAAACCTCATTTCGGCTGAATGAACCAAACTGTGCCCACGGTCCTTTCAGTACTGGACACATTAGACGCTTTTCGTCCATTTCACATGGTTACCCGGGGATTGAAGATAACCTTGCCGAGGCTGTATTGAACATATTGGTACTGATGAAACTAGTTCAAACTGAACGACATTACACTTCGTTGATTGAACTGTCTAAATTAGAATCACTGTCGAGTATGACCTTGTATGGTTTTATCATCATCACTACATATTTTAACGAGGAATGGCGGTGTATTGTATCCCACTGTATTCCGTTTCTAACAAAGAAGTCACTGTGGGAACCTTTTTGGTAGTATATCCCATTTAAATGTGATTTAAAACAACTTTTGAACCACCAAGCTCCATGGTAATGCTCAGCACAGTTGTCGTAGTAACGTTCATCGTTGTCCATATCTTTGGTACTAAACGGTTGGTTGTTATGGTTATCCCAGTATGGCGTCAGGGAATCCCCTGCGTTGCCATGGTAACCACGAATGTGTAGTCTATAGAGATCGTCTTCGTTATCGATCATGAAACTATCGTATTCCGAGAAATACCGATGACCGTCCCAATCTTCCATATCAATCCGCAGTTTGTAGTTTCCTGAAAAACAAAATTTTGTTGTAATTTTAGGCGATAAAAGGAAACTAAGTGGGAGATTTTGAAAACTGTAAAATTCATTGACTTTGAACCTAGGTATGAATTAAGAAGTTTGAATTATGAACGTTGTACAAAATGTTTTTCAGCAATACTTTTTGTAGAGTTGATTATTGTTCTTTATTGTCATTTGCACCAGAACGGTAAAACAGTTACTTTAAGGTGATTTAAAGTTAAATATATATATTTAACGTCCCTCCCTCCTAAGATTTGGCACTCGATCAAGAGGACGTGAAACATATTATTTACTTTGGCCTAACAGTAATAACAAATTATTCTGTTGATTGGCCGAAAATAAAGAACATATCAAAATGTTAAAAAAATATGAATCCAGAAGTTTGTTTTGATGTAAGAAATGTTTATATTAAGATTGTTAGGTTTGATGTCAGAAATAGTAGGAGTTATCAAAAAATTAATTCATAACGTTGGGTCAAAATGAATCTATATATTTTGTACTGTATAAAAAGATGACTGGTACTGAATTTTAAAACTGGTACAAAATTTTAAAACTAAATATACCAGTCGAAAACACAATAAAATAAATGCATTGAATGATAATATAACTGATATACCAATAATACCACATGCTCTCTAGGCTCTTATGTACTACTGGAGATAAGGTCCGACATTCATCGATCGCGATCCCCTGTCTTCAAAGCGGAACAACAGATGGATTACAATGAAATATGGCACACTCGCGAGACTTATAACTTTTGATTGTTTTTACATTTCTCTATTCGATTTATTTATCAAGCTAGTCAGATGGGAACAAAGTAATTCGAACTGGCTGGTCGCTAAGCCTGGATTTTATTGATTTGGTAATAGCAGAATAAGTCAAATATCACTGTTTTTATAACCAATTTTGAGCAAATTCGATGTTCCCTTGCTTAAATGACATTTCAGTATTGCAAGATTTTTCATGAAAATCTCTAAAATTAAAACTCAATTTATCGGATTTTCTTGCACTGATGGGCACTTTAATCGATAGCATTCCTGTTTATTTCACTTTTTAAACCTCTGCGCTATTTGGAAGGCTATAGACCACCTGCTCAACATGGCGTTCTATTTGCAGGCGCCATGACGTTCAAATACCAGTTCTGTTCCACAGAAATAACGAACGTTAAATACTTGCACTGCCACTTTTTGATTCGTGATTGTCTTCAAATTAGCAATGGAATTGGCATATTGGTGTTATTTTCCCGTCTTGTATTGTAATGGTAATGAATATGTTTAAGAAATTAACAAAATAACTGAATAAATTAACTAATAAGGAGGAACGTGGTCAGAATCTAAAATTAGACGCAGCAAAAATTAATAGGCGGGGAAAATTGAAGCTACTAAAGTGGAATATTTCTTCCTTTAATTTTACTTCTACAGTTCTACAGTTTTAGTAAAAAACGTTTCAAAATATATCTTTGTGACATTTTGATGATTCACCTCCCTTATGCCTGATTGCACCCATGAAATTGGTGGATATAGCTTTTTAATGTTCTCTGAAATTGTGTTTTTCATGTTGCCTCACGATCGTGTGTTCTATTTTCTCTAGTGTCGCATGTTCTTCAGCTTATCACCCTTTGTGTTTTTCCTTTTTCAGGTTGAGTAAAAAATAATTTCGACTTCAAAGGACCACTTAGTCACACTTAGTATTTTGCCTCAGTTTCATTGCATAATCCGTTGAAATATAAGAGTCGATGTAATTACGATTGAGCTCCATTGTTTAAACTGGCATAAATGAGCCGATAAGGAATAATCAGAGATAAGATTGAATTTCTTTAATATACACTGTTAAGTACGTGATTGACTTGTCCAGGGGTGTAAGTGTTATTCTAGCGCTGTTTTCATTACTATTGGTACACTCCCCTCAATAAGTTTGGAAAACGGAAGTTTTCGTTTGATGGGTTACCCCCAGAGGTCGTGTTTTTATTTCTTATTTTTGACATTTTTTATCCAAATCCAGCATGCCTGAAAAATATCAGAAATTAGAAAAACTTGAATCAACCCTCACATTTAAGGGGGTATTGATAGTGTGTTCAAGAGTTGCTGAATGTTTGAATTTTTATTTCGTTCCTTTACTGACCCTTAATCACAATAGCTTCGAGTTTTATTTCCAATGAATAATTTAGAATCGGCAAACATAAATTTAAACAGGCAAACGACCCCCCCTCGCTCCTTCGGCCTAGATTTTCAAAATCATGCAGTTTTTCACCATCACCATTCTGAACGCCTTTTAATTGATTTTGGTCCAAACTTATCAAATGTGAATCCCCTACTAATTTTGGAAAACTGACCTCCCCCCCCTTGACAAAAGCTGGCTTTAACATGCGATCAAGAAGGGAATTCCCGGTTGTCAAGCTTATTGAGGTGGGTGTACCCAGAATCAGGGAAGGTTATCGCATCGAATGGAATGTCGTGCCTTGCTTTTCCATTAAGTAGATTATTGCCTTGTCTGGATTAATGTTTTGGTTGCTAACCCATGTTAGCTTGTCAAAAAGGTACACATTATCGTATTAATGCTTTGAACGCTCGTGTCTTGCTCGAGAATCATTATAGTTATTGTTTATGTGTTTATTTAAGGATTCGTATGGCCCTCATCTGTTAAAGACCACGGTCTATGTGAACTCTTCAATATACACTTCATTTGAATGGTCGTGTCTTGCTCTATCAAAATGATTTTGGTCGGTCGTATCTTGCTCGACTATCACGTGTTACTGTTTATGTGTATATTTAAGGCTTTACATGACCCCAATCTGTCAAAATACTCTAAATTTTATCTGTCGTGTCTTGCTCGACAATCACGTATTACTGGCTGTTTATATTTAAGTTTACATGACCCTCATCTGTCAAATCCCATGGTCGATTTGAGCTTTTCAAAATACGATTAATTTGAACGACCGTGTCTGGCTCGACTATCACATGATTATGTCAAAGACCACGGTCGATGTGAGCTTTTCAAAACACGTTAAATTTTAAGAGTCCTGTCTGGCTCGATTATGACATGATCATGTGTATATTTAATTTAAGGCTTCACATGACCCTAATCTGTCAAAGACCACGGTCGATGTGAGCTTTTCAAAATACGATCAATTTGAACGATCGTGTCTGGCTCGACTATTACATGATCATGTGTATATTTAATTTAAGGCTTCACATGACCCTCATCTGTCAAAGACCACGGTCGATGTGAGCCATGCATGATCTTAGCCAATAGGTAAACCACTTACTCAGAAGATAAATCGTAGTTTGATGATCCGCAGCAAACGGATAAAAACACATACAGGTAACTTTACGTGTAAATTTATCACTCATCTTACATTTGCTTCCGATAAGTACCTATCGTTGGAATCTCATAAGAAAGTTTATGAAGACCAGAGAGAATGGCACCTGAGAATGGCAATTGATGATACCGAAGTGTGTTTTGGAGATAAAAATGTTCTGTAGCAGTTTTCTGGGGATTTAACTTTTTGACAGGAGGTGGTTACCCATAAATCTCTGCATATCATTCTTACTAATGGGAATCCAGCTTTTATGATATATAACTAGATTCCCATGGTTGTTTGTGGCTTCTTCACACAACAGAAAGGTGTGCAAAAGTGGACCTTTCATGTTTTAATCAACAGGTCCTGGGTTAAGTGCTTCGTTTTGAATCTGGTCGGAAATTAAATATCATAACTTCTATATCTGTTTTCTGTTTTGCAACCTTTACCAGAAAGCAATTACTTCCTGATATAGAATAGAAACTGAATCAATGAGTCAAGCATCGAAACAAAGTCGAAGGGAAACCAAGTGAAAAATTGAGCCAGAATTAGGTACATAACTGCTGTTTTGTTTCTTGGTAAAATAAAATGCTTTGGACTTGGAACCCGGATTTCCCGCACTACTTAAATTAATTCCACCTCTCTATAAACTAGACTAAGCATCTTGTATGAACAGTTGTTGAAGGTAAACGATTCGGTCTTACCTTTTAAATTCTATCTGATTTAGGAAAACAATACGTTCCACTAGATAACATTACGACCGCAGTGAGGGCAGACCATTAGATTTTTTGGGGATCTTGTCGACTAATTTTTCTATTCCAAAATCAATTCGTGTAAAAGAAAATATTGCCCCCCCCCCAGGGGGATATTGCCCTCCTTTATATCATACCTACCTTGCCCCATCGGTCCCTTGTGAGATACACCACATATTTCCCTTGGGATAAACCCTGTATCCAAAATCTCCCATTGCATTACCCTCATGTATTTCATACCTACTGAGGTTCTAGGAACATATCGAGCGGGAATATATAGTATATCTAGGGACCGGGATGGATACACGCTGTATCCCTCCTGGTCCCGCTCCTGAAAAAAAAATTTAATTGAAAATTTTTTTCCAAAATTTTTTTCAAATTTTTTATTCAATTTTTTTTTCAAAGTTTTAAAAAAAGTTTTTTTCCAAAATTCAATTTTTTCACATTTTTTCAATTTTTTCAGTATTTTTTTAATTTGTTTTTTTTCAATTTTTTGAAAATCTCGCAAACTTTAAGACCAAGAAAACGCCTAGTACCTTAACTTTATAAGGTATGATGTACCTAGATCCTCAGTAGGTATGAAATACATCTGTTATGTACGGTCGGTTTTGGATACAGTGTTTATCCCGCGGGAAATATGTGTATCTCCCTCGGTCCCTGCGGTCCCTCGGGAGATACACATTTTTCCCTTGGGATAAACCCTGTATCCAAAACCTCCCAGTACATAACCCTTATGTATTAGATTTGGATCCCAGAAATATGCACAAAGGCAATACCTATTTCTTTAACACAGCTGTAAAAGGGTAGGTGGTCCTATCAACTTTTGGTCCTACTCTCTATTGATTTATATGGTGACCTAACTACAATTATTTTCCTTATTATTTATACACAGTCGGGGCCAGTAAGGGCCGTAAGGAAAGGAGACCATAATCCCGAGGGGACAATAATTTCTTTTACACCGGTCTGAACGAGGACTATAATTTAGGGGGACTACAGTTTTTTAATTGCAACATCTTATATCATATACCCCATTTTCATATAATTTAGGTAGGTTAAACCGTCAGCCGACAGCTGGCATTGAGTTCGCGAATCTTAGCTCAGGCTCGAGTAACATCAAGTAAGGTTGCTTTTGGTCTGAACCAAATGTTTTCGATATCCCAATGAAGTGTAAAGAGCTTAGTACGGTCCACGAGTTATGATAGTTTTAAAGAAGGGTTGTCCAGCACTTTTGGTGAAGCAGAAACTTCAACGCTGAATTAAAACATTCAATCGTTTCCTTATCATCATATCGATTGGTACTTCCTTTGGGTTTTTGAATTGTGATTCAAGATTCAAGTCATATCATGTGATATCAATCATAATTCTGTCATCAACAACACCATCAGCCTCATCATTATGAGGAACATGTCTCTTCCAGTGGAGCGATTCTTCACCTACATCCCTCATTAGTTTTAGAAGCATGACAATCATTAAGCTGATAGTAATAAGCCTGGGACAAAGAGCTCTTTCTGGGACCAAAACTTTGTGTATTTAGAATGATGAATGATGTTAACAATTGGTCTAGGCAGGGGTTAAATAAATCTATGTTTTCTAAAGAGAATGTAACGGGAAAGGTCTCGAAATATAATTATTTGGAACGTTTAAGTGTCCCGGTAGACCGGTAAGGTCAGAAAACGCTAATTGATTCCCAGATCTCGCTGTTGATTTATTTTTGTATTTTCGTAAATAGTCAGATTCAGCCCTGGATTTGTTATGTATATAACTCCGGAGGGCTTTTCAACATCTCCAGTGTATTCCATTTGCAGATTTAGTGTGCCCAAATGGTTGTAATTACGTAATAGTGATTGGGACCTGCGACTCAAAAAGCGGAAAATGAGATGGGTCCATTTGGAAAAAGCCAAACATGTTTGGCCCCTGTATCTACTGTTTTTGCCCGATTACCCGACTCATTTTCAGCTGATTGAAGCATTCTGGACGAAACACGGATGATTAGTCCGGACAATCGCCCAGTCATTATTCTCAAAATGTGGAAGTGCTTAAAAAATATCAGTGCACCTTGAAGGGGGGGGGGGGGGGGGGGTCTCACCCTTTCCAATTGGTTTTTTTAAACGAGAGTTTCACCCACCTAATTATGTATGTACTAGGTCCCGGTGTGAAAGAAATTATTGTCCCCCAGGGATTATGGTCCCCCTTTTAAAGGCCCTTACTGGCCCTGATTGTGTATAAGATAATGAGGGAAAGAGTTGTATTTAGGTCACCATATAAATCAATGGAGAGTAGGGCCATAATTTGATAGGACCTCCTACCCTTTACACCCGGTGCGCATGGTAGGCTAGGGAAGGTAACGTTTGTAAAATCCTCCCTGTATGATAGGGAACCAATTTTCAGGGTTTTATCCTCATACCAAAATATACCAGTGCCAAAATACCTTAAATTGACTTTCCAGCCCAGAAGATAACATTACTGGAAACACTCGAAACACGGGTGGAAAGTAAACAAACAAATACTTCAGAAGAAAGTCGAGTAAAGTTAATTAATTAACTGTACTAGTATTTTAAGAGATCCAGACTATAGTGCTATACAGTATACACCCTCCATAAAGTATGGAAAGTGGGTGTTCCTTTGCTTCAGGGTGATTTTACACCAGTATAAAGTATGGAAATTGGGAGTCCCCTTGCTTCAGGGGGACTTTACACTCTCTATAAAGTATGGAAAGTGGGAGTCCTCTTGATTCAGGGGGACTTTACACCCTCTATAAAGTATGGAAAATGGGAGTCCCCTTGCTTCAGGGGGACTTTACACCCTGAAAATTTATCGAATTTGCCATTTTCCCAAATTTTACAATAAAGGAACAAAATAAAGAGTCAGACATTAGCAGACTTCAACTTGCTATTGAATGAAAAAATGAAGAGTTCAGGTTGCCAAATTTTTGGAGGGAGTGTACAAATAAAGAGTTCTCTCAGTTTCTTTTTCAATTGAACTTTTATCTTCTCTAATTCGGAAAGGTCTGCGAGTGCAAATTCAGCGATGGTGTCAGATTCCAATACAAAGTCAGTTTCACCAACCGTTCGAGATATCGAAACGTGTGCATCGGTGCAATACTAAGATAAAGGTAAGACGAACCAAAGGGGTAACGTTTTTTGTGCTCGCTGGTGTTATTAAGTAGAGTTGATAATTCAAGGAAAATGTTTTAGTTTTGTCACAGTATGGCCTAGAACGGTTCTGAAGTGTTATACATCATAATTAGTACCAACCCATTCATACAAGCACGTAGGCCCATATTATAATATCTTTTGATTGATGATATGAATTCGTGACCAGATATGATGATATGAATTTGTGACTCGATATGATATGAATTTGTGACTCGATATGATATGAATTTGTGACTAGATATGATGATATGAATTTGTGACTCGATATGATATGAATTTGTGACTCGATATGATATGAATTTGTGACTAGATATGATGATATGGATTTGTGACTAGATATGGTGATATGAATTTGTGACTCGATATGATATGAATTTGTGACTCGATATGATATGAATTTGTGACTAGATATGATGATATGAATTTGTGACTAGATATGGTGATATGAATTTGTGACTCGATATGATATGAATTTGTGACTAGATATGATGATATGAATTTGTGACTAGATATGGTGATATGAATTTGTGACTCGATATGATATGAATTTGTGACTAGGTATGATGATATGAATTTGTGACTAGATATGGTGATATGAATTTGTGACTAGATATGGTGATATGAATTTGTGACTCGATATGATATGAATTTGTGACTAGATATGATGATATGAATTTGTGACTAGATATGGTGATATGAATTTGTGACTAGATATGGTGATATGAATTTGTGACTAGATATGATATGAATTTGTGACTAGATATGATGATATGAATTTGTGACTAGATATGGTGATATGAATTTGTAACTAGATATGGTGATATGAATTTGTGACTAGATATGATATGAATTTGTGACTAGATATGGTGATATGAATTTGTGACTAGATATGATATGAATTAGTGACTAGATATGCTGATATGAATTTGTGACTAGATATGGTGATATGAATTTGTGACTAGATATGGTGATATGAATTTGTGACTAGATATGGTGATATGAATTTGTGACTAGATATGGTGATATGAATTTGTGACTAGATATGGTGATATGAATTTGTGACTAGATATGGTGATATGAATTTGTGACTAGATATGGTGATATGAATTTGTGACTAGATATGGTGATATGAATTTGTGACTAGATAGTGATATGAATTTGTGACAAGATATGATGATATGAATTTGTGACTCGATATGATATGAATTTGTGACTAGGTATGATGATATGAATTTGTGACTAGATATGATGATATGAATTTATGACTCGATATGATATGAATTTGTGACTAGATATGATGATATGAATTTGTGACTAGGTATGATGATATGAATTTGTGACTAGATATGATGATATGAATTTATGACTCGATATGATATGAATTTGTGACTAGATATGATGATATGAATTTGTGACTAGATATGATAATTTGGATTTGTGACTAGATATGATTGGTGTGAACCTATTAACTCACCTTGCGATGTGAGCTCATGAATATGATCGTTCCCCAGCCAGAACTCTCCTTCGAGATTACCAAAGCCGTTTTTGTATGAGGCCCAGTCCTGGAAGAAGTCTATGCTGCCATCCTGTCTCCGCTGAATCACTGTCCAACCTGGAAAAACAGTATATATATATGGCTTTAAATAGGTATAACACTCGCCGTCATTGATATTATACCTAAATAGATAGAACTGAGACAGAACACAGGCAGCTCACCCCCCCCCCCCCCCCCTAAGGTTGGTCCAGAAAAAATAAGTCCTTTTAGGGCCTTATTCTTTTAATTCCAAGAAAAATCATGAAGATAATGGGCCTTAAATTTTTATAATTTGGGCCCAATTTTGGGTTTTAGGGTCCCAGAGATTTTTCAGATTTCAAATTTGCCCCCCAACATGCATGCAGGAATACGTTGTAAAATGTTGAAATGGTGTTTATATGTAACCAACGATTGCTATAGTCACAAATCGGAACGCCACCTATTATCTATGAACGATACATACCAGATTCATTGGTCATTCTACAACATGCTTTAAATGGCTCAATTGTAGTCTTAGGCTGCAGCATGATGTAATAATCGCCGGGATATCGCATACCTCCTGTGTCGTATACATCTTGACAATCTGGAAATACATGAAACACTTGATTGAATATCATGACATTCTCTTTTGGGAGAGAGTACGATGATAACTGCATAATAATGACAATTGGGAGATAAAGCTACACGTTTTTAGTACCCAAGAAGCCAGTTTTCAAAAGCGGTTTTTGGCCTTGAACAAGTTCTTCTGCACGAATGGGAGAACTAATTCCACGTTGACGTACACTGAGTTTTCTCGTAAAACTTTGTAGCTTACCCTCGTATCAATCTTGCCGTCAATGTGTCCCTTGGTGTTGGTTTCGAATTGTGATATTGGAACTTGAATGGTGGGAGAGGGGAATATGTTTTCACGCTGGATTATGATTTGGGATAGTTGGGGTTTGTTTTCCTTATGACTGGTGTACTCTTAGATAGATGTTTTCTTTTTCTTGCTGTGTAACCATTTTCGGTGCCTTCCCATTGGCACTTTGCGCATACAGATTTGCATCAAGGTCTCTGGACCTCTCCCAATATTGAGCTTAAATGTGTGTATTACGTAGGGGACTAGAGACTTTAAATTAATGCTACAATCAAGGTTTCCTGTACAAATGACTATTCAAATCATAAACTCACGATGGTCAATTTATATTCAATCGTATTCATTAGTCACTGCATTTGTAATACATTTCGCAATTACCACATTATGATATCATTTTAATGCATCGTGATATTTCACTAATCTCTATTAAGCCTAATCCACCCAAAATCTTATTGATTCATCGTATGCATGATTATGGTAAATAGTTTCCGATTTCGAGACTTCAGGACATTCTTGGCTAACAGAATCCTGAATCATTCTGATCTTTCAGAAGACTGCGTCTTTATCTAAGCGCGTGGTTGAGTACTCCAAAGGAAAGTACAATACTTAGGGGCAGATCTGGTAACCAAGAAGGGAGTGGGGGTTCAAGCGTGATTTTTAAAAAATATTTAAGCCCATTTTCTTGAAAAAATTGCTTAAAATGAAAAATAAGGCTCAAAAAGGCCCAGTGATGCCTAAAAAGCCCAAGGAAAGGAGAACTTTTGGGTAGAAACTTTTTGGGCCCATCTTAAGGGGGGGGGGGACTAATCCGCCAGTGATGCCTAGATCAGCAGCTATACGTATGGTTGGCCCCTGCTTAAGATCACTTAGCTTTTATTCGCGAATGCAACTTGCGGCTGTCGGCTGCCGGATTAACCTATTATTTTATGACTCATTTAAATATGAATGGAATAGTGGGAGGTATTATTCATGTTTAAATGAGTTGCCCATAAAATAGTAGGGTAATCCGGTAGCCGACAACCGCTTTTTGCATTCGCGAATACAAGCTTAGCCTAGTATCAATGACATTTTCTTTTACCTATATCTCAATTAGCCAAGTAATCTAAACCTTTTTAGGCTGACTTGATGGAAGACACATATTGTTGAATGGTGATTGGCGATTGATTGACAATTGGTGATTAGTGATAAGAAACTATTGATTTGTGAAATTGAATGACGATTGATGAATGACGATAAACCAAAGCACCATGGCAACCCCTGGTGTAAATATATCTCGCCACATGACGATGTGTAGAAACCAAGATTAAAAGATTTGAAAACGTCAAACGCTAAGATTACTGAATTATGACATACATAAATAAAAGGCTAAAATAAGTGGTTTTGCCATCAAAAAATCAATCGATTCTAATAAATATGTCAGCGATTAACCGTCTAGACTTCTAAGCGATGGAAATCCGAAAATCCTAATGTTTGAACTGGTGTAAAAGTTCCGTTTTGGTATCTAGTTTTCCCGTGGTGAGTTTATTCAAGTAAGTATGCCTGGATTTTGTATTTTCCAGACGTTTAACACAATCCAAACCCTGGGAATCATAGTATGTAATTAAACTGTAAATTACAAAAGTGCCAAGGTGAAAAATAAAACACATGATCTTGATCATCGCACCTGCACACAAAAATACACAACATTATACAAAATAATATGACATCATAGGGTACAATGCCACGACTCTAACACTGTTCCCTGTAAAAATCCGAACGAGCAATACAACATAACACACCTAGACACAGATCAACACAACGCAACACAAAACAACATGACATAACACTATACAGTGCATCACATTACAACAAAGCACAATGCAAAACTATACAGCACAACAAAACAATGAAAAAGATCGCAACACAACACAGCACAACACTACATAACACACCACAACACTTTACACAACACAACAAATCACTGCTGTACAATATTGATGCACTGGATTACATTGCAAAACAAAAGTGATCATTAAAAACCCATCACTTCTCAAAACCATGGTCAATCATTTCAAAACATACTGGTTGAAATTGATGATGAAAAACATCCGAAGAAAACGCCACACAATTTGTTTCAATTAACGACCCCTGCGAATTTAATGCTACCATGGTGATGATCTCTGACGAGGTGAAAACACGAGGAGATAGTTGACGATTAAATCAAATAGACGTGAATGTTTTACATGTTATTCTCAGACAGAAATACTCAAAAATGGATCAATTTAATCTAATTTAAGAGATAAAACGTGTGAAAAAGAAATTACTTAAGTATCACTTTATCTCCGGGCTATCCCTACAGAACCTATGTGGTCTGACCGTATCAATGTTCGGATCTTGTTCGCAATAATTCTCATACCCCGAACACTGATACACTATATCTCTTTAAAACCATAAATCTTAAATAAACGTAAATAATACACTAAGACATGTATTTGCGGTGGGTTTGCTTTGATTTCCGTGTGTTTGGCCCATAGTGTTGAATTGTTCCCGTTGTTGTCCTAGATGATGGCGACCGACCGCACATGAATGCGATATACACACATAGACGAAGGGGTGGACCATTGGACTTCGGAAAAGGGGAAATACACACGAAGTTTTTTCTTGAAATAAACCCTGTATTACAGTATTATTGGAGTAGGTAATGGTGGATGAGTAAGTTAGACTTCTATTCCTTCAAATAAGGTCGATTTGATATTTGTATCATTTTAGGACATAAAAAATCTGTAAAGAAAACGGTGGGGTAAGGTCCCAACCAAATCGAGCGCATTAAAGTGCGCCAAAAAGTGTGCTAACTACAAGCTCCCATCCCAAGCCAAGACACATATTTGCCTCCCTTCTTGAGTAAAACCCTTTTTCATGTCCACAGCAATCTTTAACCTCTCTTTAACTTTTTGATCTCTCATTTCCTTTAAAAGAAAACCTCATGATCATTGACAATACGCTTCTTCTTGTCTCTGTACCTCACGTTACAAAAATTTCCAACATCGGTATTTGTTCTGATGGTTTTCCAATAACAACGCAACTTTGGTGAAACTTTATAATTTGGCATGTATGATTAGATATTTCACGTTCCTATCACTAATTACATATTAAATCACTATTTCATGGAATTCAAGCCACCTGATTGAAAATAAACAAAATCAAAGTCCATCCAATAAAGTTAGCAGGGTAATCGTAACACTCCTTTATTGTGGTTTGTAGGGGTTAGACAATTATTAGATACTCATTAAATATTCATGCCTTGTCATTATTAGCACATGTAATGTATCGTAGAGTCTACAGAAAAAAGGTACGACAGCGAAACCTGTCTCATCCGAACGCCACTGGGACATCATGTTATACCATGATATCTCATTTCTTCTCAGCCCTGAGATGAAGATGCTAATGAGTATCAGAATGCCACTGGGAAGGGCCAAACATATTCGGATAAAGAGGTATTAAAATTTAAGGCTTTTTCTATGAGTGGGAGATTTTGGGACCAATAAAAGTGTTCACATTGAGAGGTGTTTAGATTAGAGAGGTGTTCGGATTAGAGAGGTGTTCGGATATACAGGTTTAACTGTAGATTTTACCGTAAAATCTTGACGGTATCTTACACGTCTCCTAACTTGAGAAAAGTGTCAGAGCATACATTAGGTTGAACATGAAGCTCTCTTTTAACTGGCAAAATCAAACTGTCTGAAAGACTTAACTTCAGAAGGACCTGCTGCATTGGTCTATCATCATCAGATCATGGTGGAATTTAATTTTTAATATATTTTGGCGATACAGCACAGCAGTAAAATCCTAGTTTAGTCGATGGTCCAAATTAAGGGTTTGAGTCATTGAATCTTTTGACTATTTCTAAGTTCTAAAGATGATTGAATAAACCATGTATGATTAAAAGACGATGATTGCTATATTGAGAAATAAGAAAATGTATATCATCATGATCTGAATTTATAAGCGGGTATACTAATAAGGTTGTGCTCTCCGTTATTCTATTCTACTTTAGGGGTCTATAAGGTGAAAATGATATTGAAGACTTTAGTCGACAAAATGTTAAAAGCTCATTGTTTGCGCTGTTAACTTTGGTATAAGAAACTTTGATGCGATTATAACTTTATTGAATCCTTTTTCATAGTGTTATTGAAAGCTCAGAGTGCTATCACCCGAAGTGTCTTAATAACTTAATGAATACAAGTTTTGATATGTGAAAGTTTGCAAAAGTATTTCATTAATGAAGTTGTGTTATTGTGAGGCTTTATAGTCTCGTTTTGTATGAAAAGAACAGATCCATGCGGATTCTTTCATTATCCACTTCTAAATACGTCCCTTCCAAACACGCCATAATGTATTTCCTGTTGCCGAACATCAGAGGATTTTTTTTAACTTGGAGATAAAGTTCGAGTTCATGGGGTTACACGTAAAACAGTCGTGTGTGTACAAAACCAATTTTGACATGTACCTTAAATACGTGCCATGTTGTAACTATTATGGCGCACTTTATCACATGTTGGGGATGATTTGCAGGGGTTTTCAAACGTCTTTTGCTATTGGCAACATGTATCCTCATCCACCGCAGTTGAAAAAATAAACCCAGCGTGTATGAGTTGGTTTTAATTACGCCTATTTAATGGACCTTTACAAGAAAGTAAATGTTTGGGTTTATTAAAAGTAGACGTTTACATTTGAGAGTTTTATTTAGT